TTAGCAAAAACAGTATATACTAGCCATATACTATTGTGACCTGTATGAAGCTGATACATGCTAAGCACACGGATCTGCTGAGCAAACTTTTCTACTGCTTCATGAGATTCGTCCGAGGATCTCTTTGTATTTTTTTTTTTTTTGGCATTTAATGCTGTCCTCCCTCGGATTGAGAAATCTTTGGAGCTAGCAGCATGGAATTCCAGTAGGGTCTATCGTAGGGCTAGTCTACATGCTTTGGAGATTGTAGCTTTGTTTGATGTTGTCCAACCAACGCTTAGGGGCCTGCCCCTGGGTCTTTGTCCAGCGATTCTTCCTTCCAAGGCTACTTTGGGGTATCGTGTTAATTATACTTACCAGTAAGCGGAGTAGATGCTGTATCGGTTGATCGCCGGTGTGCTGTGGATATCCCCGGTACCGTCCATCTCCTTGACGAACATGGACGGGCCTCTCTGTCTGGGTGTCCTCAGGGGAGTCTTGGTGGAGAGCTTGGAGCCCGGTGGGCCACGGCTCCGGGCACCCCCTTGTCCTGGTGGAGGTTTGCTGCGCTGTGAGGGGGCCACGGAGGAGCGTCTGGAAGTCGAGGGTTGTGGCTCAACTTCAGCTTCTGTGAGATAAAATCAAATTGGTTTCAATTTGCTTCATCTGTGATAAATTGGTGACAATAAATGTTGGGTCCAAAGTTGTGACAACTAACACAAAACCTGTGTAATTTACCAGTTCACACACGTTTCATTAAAACTGACTTCAAACTATTTTTACGGTTTGGCAAGCACAGTACTCTTGGAGATGGAAGGCATGAAATTATGTGTCCAGAATGTACAAAATCTTATATCAGATGCAACAGTGACATGAAAAAATTGAACCCCAGATTAATTTTTACTGACCCTAATAGCATCCGGGCCGTTGACGTTCGCTCTGTACATCCGTCGGTACAGACCTTTCGGATTCAGCTGCCAGTCTTTGAGGGTTTTTTGGTGGTTTTATATTATAATTTAACAATGAATTAGTGCACATGCGGTGAAAACATAGCCTGCGAAAATCGGGGATCACTCAAAGAATACGGCTTTTTTTTGTTTGCTGGACCAGTTTGGTGTCCTCTGAGTGACTCGTGGGGTCCGGGTGTAATGTCCTAAAATGAGTTTGAAAGCTACAAAAGATACATTTAGCAACAAACGGAAATTGTATACACTGCATTAGAGTCGCTTTCGCTTCTACCTTGTAATTAATAAAAGGCTAAAGGTTGAACAAGGAGATTGACGGGAGCAAGATTTGAACTTGCGACGAACCTCCGGAGAGAACGGGCGACCTCGATTTAAAGTGAACTTAGTATACGTTCCCGCTTGTGGTTTAATGTTTCAATGAATTTAAAAAAATAAATAAAAAATTGGCATCATTTTTATTTCCTCCTCGCCTTTAGTTCACTGGAGGTCCATTTACCTTTTGTCGGACTCTTCCCACCGCCAGTCACGGCTGCTCCACTACTGCCACCTTTGCCTGCAGCAACATCAGCGATTTCTTTCTTCAGCTGAACGATCAAGAAAGAAAGAGAACATGCATCTTTACAGAACTGTGACTATCACACTTATTTCACCATACAATGTTACTACGTGTCCCAATAAACATTGTGCATGAAGAAGTCGCTGATTTTCTCAAAGGTTGGTCAGACTAGCTAATCAAATTTTACAGCATTTTCAAGCCTATGGTCATGTTTACAATAATGGTGAAAAAAATCAAGAAATCCAACGATGCAAACCAGAGATATCTTTGATTTGGTAAGGCTATGTATTTTTCGACCTGCACAATGTAATTTCCACACTTAGTATTTGCTTGTATATACCAATTATTGGGTTATTGGTAATACGCAATGCTTGACATATTGCATGGCCTTTATGTAGCATTTAAAGAAGGGCGTTCACAGATAACATTTTGGGTACATAACAATTTATAATCAAATCTAATGCCACTTGGAATGCCTAATATCAGGCGTTTAGTCTTTGACAAAGATATCTCTGGTTTGCATTGATGGATTTTCTTGATATTTTCACGAATTATAAACAAGACCATAGGCTCAATAATAATATAAATTTGATTAGCTAGTATGACCACCTTTTAAGCAAATCAGAGACTTCTTCATGCATAATGTTTATTGGGACACGCTATACTACGTGTATTCACCCCCGAAAATAAATAACCTTATGATCATGAGTCCGAATCCTTATAAATTTACGTCAGCTCTCGTATAACAGAAACCCTTTTGATTGTGTTTTATCTTGAACGTGTTCTTTTCACGTTATAAAATATTTCTTTAAAAAGCATACCTTGAAATATTTTTAAGTCATTCGATTAAGGGAGCCTAGACAAAAACCTCGTCCTCTGAAAGGACTAAACTGGGCAACTTTCAACAATCAGACATCTTATATACAATAAATGGAGATACATGCAGTTATACACAATGTGTTGATTAATTTAGCCAACAGGTTCATAATTGTTTCATGTGTTTTTGTGGTAATCACCAAGGTCATGCAGTTTATTCATTCTGCCCTTTCAATTATTGATGCCCCTAGAACATTATAATTACTTGTACTTACTCGACCCCTGTTGTACTGTCACAACCCACAAACCTGGTGACTGCTTAGTGGTTAGTTTCTCGCTGTGGTTGAAAAAAAAAAACTCACCCGCAACAAAACACTTCCTATACGTCAAACATTCACGCGAGGTGCAGAGATACACACATGAATATCACTCAAAAGTGCAGTTCCATTTAGCAAAAAAAAAAAAAAAAAAAAAAAGAGACGAAAACACACGGTCTGGAAGCATTCGATACTACAAAATCCGGTAAACATCTCTCAAACATCAACCCCAGATCGATGATGGAAAAAAAAAGGAAAAACCCCATAAATGAAATTAGACCACCGCGAAAAAAAAAACATCCGAGGTGGTTTATTTGCAGGGCAATTGTTTCTGAAAAAGCTACACGCTCCCCCACTTTAGTGGACTAATATTCCATTGATCCGGCGGATTATGTCAATAACTGCGAGTAAATTATTACAGGAATTAGGTACAATATCCGTTATGTGTGCACTGGGCTCCGGTCCAGCACTGTAATGGCTCACAATTGGTAGGGAGTTTATTGCATATTTAGACTCATAATGGATTGTATAGGCCTACTTTGTTGGAAGGTGGTGCTCGCATAGCAACTGGCGACTATATAGCGCTGCATCGAGACACAACCCCGCTGACCAAATGTTCTTAATTCTCTATACATTGTTACTTTGTCTTAAAATCCTATAACGTGTTGAATGAGAATGAGTGTTAGGTATGAAAATGACATTCGAATATCGTTTTATTATGGGCAGAAATAGGGGAAATGTTTGGGGGAATTGTGCCTTTGATGAACATGAAACAAGCATGGCATTGGGCACACAGTCAGAGTGTGTCATGAGAAAAATATCTGGCTATGAGGCCCTCGCAGATTTGTCTTTTGAAAAAAATGTAGGTAGAATAACAAGCAATTTTCAAATTTTTCAAAATGACTGCCAGTGCTTGTTATTCTACGTATTTTTTTTCAAAGGGCAAATCTGCGATGGCGCTATAGCCAAATATCTTTCACATGACACACTCTGACTGCGTGCCAAATGCCATGCTTGTATCATCAAAGGCACAATCCCATCACATATCTGTCGTACTACATGTTTATTGTTCATTTATAAGTTAAAATATCATAAGGTAAACGAAACTAGGCGAGTAATGCTCCTCTTAATTTTAGAGAAGTGTTTTACAACAATACATTTCTTTTGAGGATTCCTGTTTGCATTGCATGAAAAACGATTCCTTGACTTGTCCAGATTTTCCAATACCTAGGCCTACCTAACATTGCGATCCAAATACAGAACAAATTAAACTCACAGTTTTCTTTTCTTATACCTCTGGAAGATGATGGTTTTTTTTTTTTATTCATTTCCATGTGTGGAGTTATTGATTAATATATATACAGTCGAATCTCGTTGGTACAAATTCTGTTAATACAAAATTCTGGTTATAACAAAGTAACATAAAGCCTTAGTCCCGACTGTGCATTTATGTGCACAGTGAATGGGACTGATGTTCCTCTTAATACAAAATTCTGATAAAACAAACAATTTCGCTAGGTCCGAACGAGTTTGTATTAACGAGACTCGACTGTAGTTAGCAACCTGTAAGCCGATCTTATTTAAATACAGAATTCGCCACAGAATTCATTCAATGAAGATCAATTCCCTGATGACATGAGGTGTCGGACTTGTGGGCCTTTATTTGGTTAGGGGATGCGATTTTCTCGGACTTATGATATGAGGCGTCTGACCTATGAGGCGTCGGACTTATGAGCGGGCCCAATTACAAGAATGGTCAAAAACTAGTTTGTCCACGTCTATGGCAGTCATGTAGACCTAAGTGCAATTATTGCAGTTCTTCGTGCGTGCAGTGCTGTTGTGTTGATCTTTATCTCATAGACTTGCGTGTGGACAAACTGCTTTTTGACCATCATTCTTTAAAACATCGACATTTCGTAATTCAGGCTGTATTTTTAGTGCCGGCCACCAAGATGCTGTACTTTAGGAATATCTTGAAACAATTTTTACATGTCTCCCCACTGCCAAGAAATCTGCGTCTGGAAAGTGTATATTTTGACCACCCGGTAGACTGGTCAAAAAATTACCATGAAACCACCCTCAAAAATATATATTAATGGAAAGAATGTTGCTGCAACCTGACGCTGCTTTTTTTCTTCATATATCATCTCAATGAAGGTCAGTCATTGCAAAAATTATGATAAGGCATGAATCTGGGACCCCACTGAGAAACATTTCCAATTTTGTTAGGAAAATGTTCTTGACTCTCCATAGACTTTGTACACAACCGCCATAGTAGCGTCAGGTTGTAACATTCTTTCCATATTAATAACTTAATATTTTAATAAACAATGTAATAACTCATTCTTAACAATCTCCATCTTTATATCAAAAGTAAACCGAGCTGTTTCTATATTTTACAAATTCCATCCAAATTAAACACCACTTCAGAAGAATATTAACTATGCCTAAATAAGTAGTTGTTCTTATTGTGAAATTGGCCCTTTAAAACAGAACAACGTTAACACTCCATATCACCATGTTGCTAAATATTCTTTCTGTACAGATTTTTTTTACAGCATTTTTACAATAAATATTCACAGTAAATATATTTTTTAGAAGGCACAAGGACATTTTTCACACTTATAACCACAAGGAAGATGGTGGACAGACACTTCCTGTTAATAAAGAAATATTTCAGCAAAAACTGTTAAAATGTATGTATAAATATATACCTTTGAAGTCAACAAACCATTCTAGTTAACTTGGACGAGCAAGACATTATATGGAAGTTCCGATAAATAAATAACAATTGATAAATGAAACACATGCAGATAGACACAGTTTAAAGGCAATATACACCATTTGCAAACATCAAAAAACAAAACAACCAAATTATTATGAAATATGTTACTTGACTGCAAGTGAATAACCTCAATCATCCTGTGAAATCATGGCACCTGGTGTACTGTCATTGTTAAGAAAAGTGATTTTTTTTATCAATTTCCAACGATAGTCAGCCGACCATCTTTGGAAAAAAAAACAGAGGTTTTTTTTCCAAGTACTTTAGTTAGGCCATATTTTGATTGCAATCGGTTACACAACGGGTGAAAGCCTGATAGTCAAGTTCCCTGACCTTACAACTCCCCAACGTTCATAAATGGCTCTGTTTCGTCTGAGGTAGGGTCAGGGAACCAGACTACAAGAACAGCTTTTTTTCTTCGTTTTTCCAGCATATATGAACACAAAACTTTGAAGAGGTCAGTGTAACAATAATTGCTTTAAAGTAACTTCCAAATTCACTAATTTCTCTAAACGACAGCAAAAGCAAATGTTGTATATTATTACCTTTAAAGCACGAACAGAAATGTGAGTACCTTTTCTTATAATACCAAACATTGCAACAGCAGAAAATTCATTGTTATATTTGGCCATTTTTCACCTTCTAAACAAAGGCAAATTTTACGTTTGATCATTTTCCAACTGATACTCTAAAAGCAGAGACGGAGCTTCAGAATTTACAAGACTGACATTTTTTTTGACAATTTTGCTGAAAAAAAAATGCAAGATCAAAAAGCCCTTTTTTTTCTCCAAATGTTCCCGTTGAAATTCCGCTGGATCACAACGAGTCATTTTAGATTTCTGTTAAGTTTAACATCTACAGAAGTTGTTAAGTTGCAAGCAAGGCATTTTAATGTTACAAAATTCAATGTCAAAATCACGCTTTTTACATTTTTTTTCCAAGTTATAAAATCTTGGAAATACAAGCAAAAAGTCACACACAAAACACACATTTGTAAATTGTTCCAAATGTTTTGTCCAGCAAAACATAAAATGAACAGCAAACTTTGATTAATCTTCCAAAATGCGGTCTAAACTTCTTTACATTTAAAGCACAACATTGTTTATTTTTCTCCCTTAGTGTTTATTCCCAGGAGGGGGGGGGGGGGTGTTATGGCTTGTTAAAAACTCTGCCCTCATATTTTCGGCCTAGAGCAAGTCGCTGGCAGATATTTCCAGCCTCGCTCCCTGCATCTTTATCCGTCATCTGTTTCGAATACTGCAAAACCTTTGCGTGTATACACGTCATCCAGCATGAACTGGTTAACTTGTATCTCTAGTTCTTATTTTTTTTTTGTAGTCGCAACTTTAAGTGGCCCTTAGCTTTGAGGCTGGTGATTTCCATAGAACGCGTAATGATTGACATTTTCACAATCTATGCAGCCATTCAATCAAGAAGTGGCCAAGCATCAAAGTAAACACTTTGTTGCCCCGAATCCCAACGCATTCCTGAGCTAACTAACATTGTTGCTTCCGGCCGACGTCCTCCCCCTACCTGCTGCACTCCCCTTCTTACTCCCCTTGGCCGACTCCGGCCCGTTCTCCTTGTTTGTTGGCGTCGAGCGTCTTTCCGCCGGGCTCTTGCCGTCAATTAACGGGGCCAGCCGGCCCTGCAACTCCTCAAACAAACCTTGCATGTCTTGTACCTCCTCTCGCCTCTGCGTTTGTGTTAGGAACCAATGCAAAAACACACACGTTTGATACACACGTTAGTAATTAGTCTGGTGCTGGACGGAACAACTACACAGCAATAATGTGTTTAATTTCTTAAAGGCTCAAAGAAGTGAATCTTTCTCAGGAACATATTTTTGTGCAAATTTCTACTCCTCTTAAATGTATGAAAACTATCTGACATCCCTTTTTGGTTAATTTTATTGAAAAGTGCACCTTTTTAAAAACATTTAAAAAATATTCCCATGCTTTTCCAGACAACTAGAGAGCGCTGATGCTGTGATGTCATTTCAGGAAGACAGGTACAGGAAGGCCTTGGTCTCGAATCGTTGGAATACCTTGTGGGTTGTCTCGGGACTCAAAGACTTGCGAGGCACTTGTGACGGACTTGTGAGGACCTGGCAAGTTCTGAACTACAACACTGATACAGGGCGGCCAACTTTGAGTAAGAGCTGAGAGTGAAAATTCGGCGATGGCGCTTGATCAGAAGTAATCATATGCTAATGCGAGCGTGAAGTTCTAATAGCGTGGATTTGGGGCCCGGGCTGATGGGCTCCAAAAAAAATTGGGATTCTAGACGCTCTGTGGTGCGATCTGAGGCAATTTCTGACCACTTTAACCAATTTTTTTTCAGCGAAAGATCATTATTTAAACATCATTTTCGAGTTTTATTTGTTTACTTTTTTAAGCGTGAGAAACCCCAAGTGCGCGTCAGAGCACGAGAGCAAGCTGAAATGCATGAGTCTCACGCTCAATGCGTGAGAGTTGGCAGCCCTGCTGATAAGGAGTGTCTCAAAACTAAGAATGCTCCATGGATGTAATCCAGTCCATCACAAATCCAGTCACAAATCCAGTCACAAGTCCAGTCACAAGTCCAGGCACAAGAAAGAAGGGATGGACAATAACAAAGGAATGCCTTTGTCAAAGCTCCTTTGAATAGCTTGCGACTGGAATTGGGACTGGAGGACTTGTGGTGGACTTGATGACATCCCTGGAAAGCGCTGAATATTCCACTAGAAATATTGCCTGTGTTATCTTGTGAACACAAAATGTCCCCCATGAGGTAAACATTCCACCTGAAAACACCAACAGTGGAATCCCGCGACAAGATTTTGAAGTGTTTACTGCGGTGGAACTGCGGTGGTGTCACGCTCACGCGCATGCTGCACGTGTTCTTAAAGACGAGGCCCACGCGCATTTTGGTATTTCTATTGGTTGAAGGAGCCCGGAGTGCGTGCATACTACCTGAGCGCGACTCGCCACCGAAGAAAATGGCTGCCATCGGATATGTCTATACCATATTGAAACATTTGCTTATGTGCGCATGAGATCGCAAAAAGAACTTTCTAGCTAGGAACACACAAGATATACAGCTTGGATATACTGATCGGACACAAGAATAGAAACAGGTTTGACTTTTGCTTCTCTTATGTATTTCTGCTTAAAGCTATAGTCCATCATTTGCAGCCATCCGAAAAGTAACTGGCGTAATTACTGTTGAAAAACAAACTTGGTTGAAAGAAAGTAAGGGAACTAACCTCCCTGTGAAATTATTCTTTCTGGGAAACTGTCATTTTGAAGTAATCAACGAAAGAAGGCATTTCCAACGGTGATTCTTAAGAAGCACCGTAGGAAAATTTAAATTAGTAGTTGTTTTGTTATTCAGCGCAGCGCGCACAAGTATTGGAACGACGCACACGCGCGCGCGGTTGTTATAATTCGTCGGATCAGTGCGCGACGCCGCGTATAGCTGCAATTCAAAACAATTCAAAACATGATTCAGTAACTTTTGATTTGAAATTGAGATCTTAGAATGCTGTTTTTCTCGGAATGTACAGCTGAAGCTTAGCTGAAACTTCACCAGGTTAGTTGCTCAGTATCCTTCATTAGAGTTTGAACACTTTTGTTGCTTCAAACGAACAAAATGCACTAATTACAAATGATGGACTATAGCTTTAAAAGAATTGTCTGTGATATGATACAATAACCGATTCCTCACAATGCTGGTCTGCATTCATGTGCTCTGAAAATAGTTTGAAGTGAGCCCTCTTTTGGCTATTTTTGATTATTCTGTATAAGTCCTATCAACACTTTTTGTTGAACCTTTGAACCCCTTTGAAGCACAATAAATAAAAGATTAGATCAATTTTAGTGGCCACTTTCTTTTCTAGTTGTTGCTATGACAATAGTCTCATAATCAGTGTTAAGTAGACTTTTTGGACATTTTTATCGTGTTTAAGTCCAAGCAATAAAAGTTTTAGTAAACTTTGTTGGTAACAAAATGTCGAGTTGAAAACGTGACAATTCGCTCATATTGTTTAGTAGACTGCAGTTCAATTGTGTGTGCTTAAACATCGACACTGGTGCATTGTTTTAATGTGAATTTGAGGAATGCTATGTACTTACAGCTTTCGTCTCTGCATCTATCTTCCTTCCCAGGTGGACTCGGACTGTCTGTATGCTGTTCTCAGCTTTCCCTATCTGCTCTTTCAGCTGTTAGTGAAAAGCAATAAATGACTACCAATTATAAAACCTGATAAAAAAAGGGGAGACGTTGGTGGAAGTCATTGAAATACCCACTCTTAATTTTTTGCCTGATTTTTCAAGAGGCCATTATGATTTTGACCATTTCGCATCGACTTAATTTTTGCCAAAAAATTTTGCCCAAAATTTCTAAATTTTTTAAACGGCAAAATTTCCCAGCCAACTTCTGATATACAGCCAAACGCCACAAACACTGATTTGCAAGAGTGATTTTAACAGTATTTGTACGATATTTTTTGCGGAAACCTCGTATGTTTCAATACTTCGGGGTGTGCACTGGAGCATAAATTGTAGGCCGTGCACAACGGCCCACACAACGGTCAGCACATGGTCCCCTTCCACAGACAACACAGACTTTGTGTGTGTGTGTGTGTACCAAAAGGCACGAGGGATTATAGTATTTAGACGTCACCCGGAGGCAAGTCGAGGCAATCTTGACGTCTTAACCCGTCATCCAAGCCTGTGCAAAAAACAGCCTGTGCGAATTGGTTAAATGGCATTCAAAACTAACGTTCTTTAGTTGGAACTAGATTAGATACTGTATATGTTCAGAAATCTGTGAAAAACTGGTGACACAAAGAAATACTTGCAGTGACTGTCTGAGGCTTGGTTAATTTTAGATCTGTGTGAAAAATGTGACAGCAAAAGCAAAACACCAAGGCCAGGAAATATCAGTGAAGGTGATAATAACTTTCTGCGTCATTTTTCATTCAAAAATAGTTTTCTTTAGTAATAATTCATCAGTAGGAACAAATAGATTGAATAGATTGTTAAATAGAAAACATGAATTATATGCCGTTAACTTTTCCCCTACAGAACATTGTTCACGTTGACAAAAACAAAGAGAATATACGAACCTCTTCAAACTTCTTCCGTTGCTGCAATAACAAAAGAAAAAACAAAGAGAGAATTCATTAGTTAGCAAAGGAGGGAAGACTTTACAATTTTATGTTTACTCCTTTCTTTTTAGTTTTAAAAAGTTGCACCATTGGGAATTTTGTAATACAGTAAACCCCGGCTAAGTCGGCACTCTCGGGACCCGAGAATTTGTGACGACTTACACGAATGCCGATATCTGCTGTAAGTCGTCATTTTGCCAACTAACATGAACGGCCTTTTGCACACATGATTCACTGCACTAATTGGCTTCGATTTACCCTGGTTTATCTCCTTAATGCTTGAGTTGAATCCAGCAAATTAATCCTCCAATTGTATCATCACGTTTGGGGTATTGATAGTGGAGACCACGATACATATGTACGTGCACAGTAACGAATTAAATGCGTGTGTGGTCCGGTATAGACCACGCACGCATTGACTGCAGCACTAGTCATTCAATAAGACGACCTCCAAAATGGACAGAGCGCATGCGTACATGCGTACAGCATAGAGGGGGTACTATCATTAGACAATCAGATTCAAAATTATGACCCCTCCAATGATGAGTCTCTTTGCGGTTTTTGTTAAAAAAAAAACTAATCTAACCTTATTAATGTTGTCCTCAATATCATCAATCCTAGCCTTGGTAGCCTCGTCCACTTTGCCGCCTCCTTTCCCCTGGGCCAGCTTCTCCTTCTGAGTGACTGGAATGACAGGCACGGCGGCCTCACCGCCGCTAGGTATGGCCTGCTTGGCTGCCTCTATATCCTGCTGGAGCTGGGTGTACTTAGTCTGCAGGTCCTGACGAACCATCTGGACATCACGGATTCTAAGTAAATAAACAAAAAAAAAAGAAATCATTTGCCATACATTTTGTATTCATTTGGTAAAACTAGCGGGCGCCGTGCGAATCGCTAGCCGGGTGAATCTTACAAATGATCAGTGCGCCTTCAATTGACTATTTTTGAGAAGGGGTTCATGTCATTTATACAGTCAGATTTCGAAATGTGTATTCATATCGTACAAATTTGTACAATCAACGGTTAATTTTGCCACATTTTTCATCAGCAACGTTATGTTTTGTGTCAGTGATACGTTTTGGAATGTTTTCACAGAGACAATGTTATATTGTAACTAACGAAGATCTGAAAGAAACAAATTTTCCACAAAAAAATATATTAAAAACAAATTTAAAACCTATTTTTTTCCCCCGTGTTATCCGTGACTTCAGAGGACATTGAAATCGGAGCATATATGTGATACGATCAAGCTACATGAGTCGTTTATCAACCCTGGTCCAAAAAAAAATTATTACAGATTTCAAAAGAGCACAATCTCAGCATTACTGCTGTGAAAACCGCATGATGGTACCATCTTTAGTTCAAAAATTATGGAAGTCGGAACACCAAGAGCTGTGATGAAGTGATGTGATGAAGTGGCCCTATTTTGGCCTGAATCTCCAAATAAAAATTCCCGACAAACGACTCATTTAGCTTGATCGCATACCATTTAAGCACCTGGTACAACAATTAAGCACCTGGTACACAATAACCAAGCCTCTCCATTAACCCTAACTCCCTAGCATCGTTTACTAGGAACCGTACCCATCCTGGCAAATTCCAACACCCACATGGGAAATTGTACCGGTACACACACACTGTTGGACTTAGTTTCTGGAGGTATGCCAACCCCAGTGTAAAAGACCATCAGTTTAGGGGTACTGTACCCATCCCAACAAATTTCAACAAAACCTGCTGTTGGGCTTTGATGGGTTGAGTTCGGTTAGGGTTAACCATTGCATTTTGTGCATGCTCACACCCTTTAGGCCTTTTACAAACAAAACGTGACAAATAGACATAAGACAGACAGACAGCGTAGAATCTTTTAACATCGATATACTCAGTATGCTGTCTTTTTTTGTGGATAAGAGCACTGGAACAACAACTTTAGGAGTGCAAACGTCACTGGATTCAGAGTTGCTAGCATGAATTTTTAACTCTAACTCCCTAGGCCTTTTTGCTAGGATGTTGCTAGCATATAGCCTCAATCCTGCAAATTCCTCAGTTGTTTCTTGAATATGGTCCATGGAGGGGTGACCACTGCCTGAATCCTGCAAAATCCTCCAGCTATGACTGTCAATAGGCTGAGGCAGAGGCAGTGACATCCTGGAGCAGAGCGGAGGATGACAAGTATAATCAAGGACTAAATTTATGCACGGCTGAGCATAAACAACACAAGGTCCGGCCCAAGACCTTGACACAGTGCGTACTCCGAAATCAGCAACGCACTTTTGCCATGTTACCTCAATCCTGCAAATTCCTCCAATTTGCAAAAAGGATTTTGGAGGATTCAGGGCGGTTAGGGTTAATTAAGCAAGTCATCAAGCTACGAAATGATTGCTGCAATAAACATGTTCCTTTTGCTAAAAAAAATATGTGGCCTTTTTGAGGTGCAACATGTATTTAGAATGTGGCAAGATGTTGACAACTGTCTGATCTCTGTCTGTAATTTTATTCTCTGTTGATTGAGATGTCACACAAAATGGTGCTACTTTTTTTTATACCTTGGGAAGAACAAGTAAGCTAGAAAATGTAGTCCCAAGGAATTTATATAGGAATACATTAATGTAAATCTCTGCCATGTATAACACGTTGTATTTCTGATGTAATGTCTCTCTTGTATTTAGTTTGGAAGGTGGATTATTAGACCCTAATGCTCCTTAATCCTCCAAATTCCTCACAGCAGTTGCTGTCTCAAGTGAAATGATTGGAGCTATATTCATATTAATATTTTCATTTGGGGGGGGGGGGGGAGATTGAAGTTTAATAAATGTGAGATACAGACGTGGAGTTTGGAGAACCAAAATCACATACTTATTCACTCAAGTTACATTTTTCAACATGGAGGGGCAGGGGAAGCTGGCTCAGAATTATTGAACGACTGCGAAAACTGTCTAAGAAAAATAACATTTTGAAAGTCATATTTTGAACCAGATGGCTATAGATAAACTAATCCCTTGGAATCAAATAAAACATTTTTTTAAAGAGATATTAAAAGAATGTAATATCCTTTGAAGGATTGAGAGGGTATCTTAACCAAACAGGCCACAGAATGTACAGCAAAATAATGTAATTTATGTACAATGAGAAAGACAATTAAGCTCCATATCGTTGACTAAACAATGTAATTCTGGGTCCACAAAATAAGTTCAGTGAAATTTGTTTGAGGGTAATCCATTTTTCTTCACGGAAATCAAACTATCAGAACCGACCGAACAATTGAAATTATGACAAATCATTGACCAACGTCCAGAGAATATTGGGGTTAACAGATAACGCAAACTGTCTTGAGTCAACGTGTGCTGCAAATTAATTGAGAGTACGCAAGCACAGTACAGAGCAACACAGAAAAGAACACGTCACCTAGCAAACGTCTTAATCAAATTTGTGGAAAGAAACCGAGTCAAGCTTAAGACGGTGGAATTATTATCCTTGCCTTAATTCAACGATCAATCACAATAGATGCCAAACACTAAAGACGCCTCATTTACACAGTACTGTTTTACGCATTACTTTTTTCCATGTTGGTTTTTATTGGAAAAAGTAAAAATGCATAAAGTAATACATGTCAGTTTTGCCTATTGGGCTCCATGCAGGAACCAGTAGATGGTGTTTTGAGACCACTGGTGCAAGCTCCATTTGCGCGACACACTGTGTATGTACACTAGTTTTGTAGGCATATTAGTGGTGTTGTAGTCGAGTACTTTTTGCCGAGTACCGAGTACTGCCGAGTACTTAGGTTACCGAGTGCTTGTACGAGTACGAGTACTTCCAAATACAAGTACAGGTCTCTGAGTACGAGTACTTGTACTTCCGAGTTCAAGTACTTGTACTTCCGAGTACGAGTATGAGTACTTCTATTTCCGAATACGGCCATACGGCAAATGGTTCATTGTGTGTAATTGGCCCAGGCCCAGTCAGATCGATATACAGACCCAATCACGGACAGCTGTTAACTGTGTTTGCCCAGACGTACACAGAGGAAAATCAGAGATTCGATTTCTTCGCAAGCCAATCAACCCTTTTAAACTAAAAGTATCGATGAACTAAGGCCGTGGTATGTCAAGCTATACCATTTTTTGTTAGTACTGCTATTCGAGTACGAGTACTTTGATGATGGAGTACAATTTCGACATGTCGAGTACGAGTACTTTGCTGCCCGAGTACGAGTACCGTCATTTCGAGTACGGGTACTTTGACATTAGAGTACGAGTATGAGTACCCTAACAAAAGTACTCGAGTAGTACTCCAGTACGAGTACCAAGTACGAGTGCTACATCACTGCATATTAGGGACCATTAGAAATGGTGCAGATATAGGATACGTATGCTGCACAGAAAAACTAGTTGGTTAAAGCTATAGTCCATCATTTGCAGCCATCTGAAAAAGTAACTGGCGTATTATTGTTGAAAAACATACTTGGTTGAAAGATAGTAAGTGGACTAAACTCCCTGTGAAATTAATCTTTGTGGCAAGCTATCATTTGAAGTAATCAACGAAAGAAGGCCTTTCCAACAGTGCGTCTTAAGACGCACCGTAGCAAAATTTAAATTAGTAGTTCGTTTTGTTATTCGGTGCAGTGCGCGCAAACATTGGCACGACGCACAGGCGCACGCGGTAGCTATAATTCGTCGGATCAATGCGCGACATCGCGTATAGCTGCAATTCAAAACATGATTCAGCAACTTTTGATTTGAAATTGAGATCCTAGAATGCTGTTTTTCTCGGAATATACAGCTAAAGCTGAGCTGAAACTTCATCAGGTTAGTTGTTCAGTATCCTTCATTAGATTTTGAACACTTTTGTTGCTTCAAACAAACAAAATGCACAAATTACAAATGATGGACTATATCTTTAAATCGCTATTTTGTATTGTTATTTCATTGGGAACATTACATTAGTTATCCCATGAGAGTGGTATGTCGGACGCAGAGGCACTACAATTTTCCATGTTCCACGAGCGTGAGTGGGACAACAAATTTATCGTCAAGCAAACTTGGCGCAAAGTAAACATGGCACACGAACGCTGCGTAGGGCCTACACAAACTTTTCATCGCTAATATCCTATTGCACGTGCCAGTAGTGGGAATGGCGCGCACATCTTAGAAAAGCGTAATACGCTGAGTGCGGTGTAGACCGTGCTACATGGGATAATGTACCACGGGTTGTTGCCATGGATCAACCAATCAGGATCAAGGATTTAAGTTTACTTGAAGATAAATAACAATGTGCATCTCACATCCAAATATTGATGTAGCTTTTTGTTGTAATTAGGCAAAAAAAAATTCTTCTGCTTCCGATTTAATACATGGCTTGTAAAAAGACAGTCGTAGGTTGAGGATTTATTTTTTCCCTTCACAAAATTTTGCGCCAGGGATTAGTGGCCACCAGCTGCTTTGGATAGGACAGTGGGTAGGAGCAAATGGAAGTTGTTGCAGCGCCTTCTACAGGTCTGGCCAAGGAATGTATGTGGTAACTACTCAACTCACCTATCCTTGGATTCCGAGTCGATCAGCCCCTTCATGTCCTCCTGCAGTGTCTCATTGGTCCGATTCATCTCACGAATCTAAATAAATTTTACAGAATTTGCATGAAGGTGAAGTGAATTTCAATGGAATTTTGTTGGAAACTTTTTTTTAGTTAATCAATCATTGTGTTAATTATTCAAAAATAGCTTGGAGAAAATGAAGCTTTCCTTTGTTTGCAAACAAAATTCTTTGATCAGTAAAATATCTAAACTGTTTTTTTCACAAGGACTGGAAAGCAGTCAAAGACCGTTGTGATTTGATTTCAGATGAAATCAACAACAATGTGCACTTCACATAACAATAGAAAAGGTAAGAAAACGAAGAACAGTTGAGTTTGTTGGACAAACTTGAAGAAAAAATATGAAGACAAAACTTAAATTGTTGGTATCCTTTATATTGATTAAGTCATGCGAAAATCACCTGTTTGAAAGGGTCCATGCGATGAATTTTTTTTAGGAACACATTTTTTGAAACTCCTCTTCACTGTATGAAAAGTGCACTTCTTTAAACATTTAATAATTTTCCATGCTTTTCTGGACAACTGAGGGCGCTCTTGCTTTGATGTCAATTCAGGAAGGCACTGTTCAGTTTAGGGGTTTCCTAGTCAAATTGTGAACCCACAATTTGCTCATTGAAAACATTTGTGAGAAAGGGTTGCTCATTGGCTTACTGCCATGTGCTAACACAACGATGAATCACCAAAGAAAAGACAATTTATGACAGCAAAATATATCCAAAATTCTAGCAACTTTTTGCACTGAAATAGGTGTAAAAATGCGGTTTCTGCCTGGAATGACATCACAGTTTCCCTCATGAATATGAAAATTCACATTAGCATAAATACCCAAAAGGTACAAAATACCCTTCAAAATGGCAAAACAAAAATTGAAAATAAGGTTAAATGAAACACAACTGTGCATTTTCAAGGATAGCATTAAAAAATGAAACGCAAGTTAAAAATGGAAGAATTAATCCAATGAAAGAATGGTTGTAAATTTTGGCCCAGCTAGATACTAGTGAAAGTAATTCTGGCCCACCTCTGGTCCGAGTTCATCCATACGCTCCTTGATCTGTTTGAGTTTCTTCTCGGCACTGTCCCGCCAGTCGTCTATCTTCTCCAGTTTCTCAGCCTGATCTTCCATCAGCGATTTAGACGCCTAGGGGAAAGAAAAATCCATTACTTACAATGATTGACAGTGCCTGTAGAACTTCGATGCATTCACAAGTAAGGGAGTCATAAAGAAATCCTTAAAACAGAAAAAATTGCTACATGTTCATCATGTTTCAGCATAAACATTGAACTGCCTGCGTTGATAAAGATTCTTTGGAAGTGACTGATGAAATCATGATAAAATCCTGAAATATAAAAAATTGTATCATGTCTCCGATACTAAACTTCAAGGTTTAGAACCATGGCCTGGCAACTTTATTAATTAACCTCCCTCTCTCAAAAGACAAATGGAGAGGGATACCCTATCTGTCAAAATCATCTATCAAGTGACTGTTTTTTTAACAGTTTGGTAAATTGGGCTCATATTAGTACAATTGACAGGCTGTGGCAATTTTGTCAACTGAAAGTACCATGCCTTGACTGATAGTAATAGATATGGGCCCAATTTCTTGGCTCTGCTTACCGTTGGCGAAAAATCCCTGTTTACTTTAGCAGAAAATTGTGTACTTACGGTAAGCTTATTTCACGCATTAGCATCGAATTTTGGCTTCTGCGCATGCAAACATCCCATAACTAAGGATTCTGTGCTTACAGGGTTAGCACAAATTGTTCTGCTAGCATAGTTAGCTCAAAATGGTGATCGCAAGAGCCACGAAAGTGGGCCCTGGTGGGTTTAAGTACTGCTGAGTGCCTGGCAATGATTGATTTCATTCAGTATTACAGTGAAGGCACAAAAAGGTTCACACATGCATATCACAGCAAAACAATTTATTTGAGGGCAATGGCTGCTACGCATAAGGTCTGTAGCATTGCAGTATAAGTTGCTGCATTATTCAAGGACACCCTGTCGATCAAACCCCTTCAACAGGTTTTGACAGATATGTGGCTTAATCCATAGGGGTACAACCCTGCAAAAAAAATCCCACAGACACTAGTGCTAAATGCGCATACTTCTAAATTCTTTTAAAAATACTCAGAACTCTCACAGGTATTCAAGCTGCACAGAAAAATGATGATCAATGTGTCATCTTTCATTTTCTTTTCTTTTTTTGGTGGGTTGACCATTGACTTTTCGAGCTATTCTCACCCAAAGAAGACGACCCCTATTTTCCCCAAAGCGGAAAAGTAGCCATCTTGAAAAAACCATCCCTCCACAACATGGCAAAACAGCGCCACTTTCGTGCCCAATAGCATCCAAAATGCTCAGAATTGGAAGCCCCAAGTCCGGGCCAGAGGTTCATTACCATATCTCTTCAATTCCCCAATTTTATGGCTCTCAAAACTCTCTAAAATAAAATATTTTGAGGGTATAACTTTTATTCATGAGCTCGGCGGACAGATTTTTGGCCTATTTACAGGCGTGCACCCATAGAGGTGCTGCCTGTTGGTGACCAGCCTGTACAAAAGAAAGTGGGTTGGTTTTTGGACCGTTTGTGACAGTTCTATCAAGGTCTACACATGCAACAAATCCACAAACCAGTTAAAGGGTACAACACAGTCAGTGTTAACTCTCCATATGCGAACAGATTTGGTAAAGTGGAAATATTAGGAAGGAATAAAAGATGGTGCTTTGACATCTTCATTTGTGCTGCACATACATCACAATCACAGGGAGCTGAGATGGTATTTGGAATGTTTCATGTGCCCAATGAGCAGGGGTAATAATGATGTAGCGCCTTGAGCACCAGTCCTGGTGGATACGTGCGCTTTATAAATATCCACTATTATTATTATTATTATTATCACAAAAGGGTGTCTCTAGCAATGACATTAATTTGTTAAAACAAGGGCGGTGGTGACACACGTCCTGAAATATTCTGGATGGGGTGTGTGAGGTGGTGGGGAAGGGGATAGAGTTAGATACCATCTGACTTGCTTGAAAGTGTTAAAAACAAAAAATCAAGATAAAAATGACATCTACATGTACATGGAGAAAAAAAGTCAATTTTGGAGTAAAAGGGTTGAGGATGTATAAATCACACTGTGCGGCACTCAACATGAAAGAAGTCAATATATATGTACCTGCTTATCCTGTCATGGTAAAAAACGGTCAGGCATACATGCAAGGAAAAATAAATTCATCAAAACAAGCACTATGAAACATGCATACTCTTATAATATGACTACAGGTACCTCTGGGTGAGTATCTCGATTACTCGCGAGTAGTTTATGCTACATGTTTTTCTTCTCATGGTTTTTCATGTTCTCGAGTACTCGTCCTGACGCGAGTAGAAGCAGGCACTCGCAAGGTTTAGGGTTCACGGCTTAATACGTCCCCTGCAAACAGGGGTTCCATTCGTCCCCCCCCCCAAAAAAAAAATTGAAGTAAATGACCCAAAATGTCACACAGTAAGAATATTTCAGTGCTGAAAAATGCGGTGTGACTTGCAAGGTATTTGCTTGTAAGTCATACAAATGTTCATTTTATTTTCTGCTTTTATGTGAATTTAGTTAACTACTCGCGAGTACTCGACTACTCGGGAATAATTTCTTTGCGAGTATTCGAATAGAGAAATCCACTACTCGCCCAGGCCTATCTACAGACTTATCCAATGACCACAGTTAGAAGACATTACTGCAATGGTATTACAATGCTCGTGTGCACGTCACACACGTTGTCAAGTTTGAGATTCGTCAGCGTTTTTTGCAAGTTGTAAACACCCTAATGTGAGAAAGAGCACTTAGTCCGTGTTACAACCTGCATGCCACCTAAAGAATGTCTTCCTCAATGTTTTAAAAGTGATCACTGGATTAACTACAGGCCAAGAAATGCTAAAAGTCTAATCCGGCGAACAAAATTAGAAGCCATTTTTGAGGTGGTGCCACACTCACGTGCATATACACGTTTGTTTATGGTGTAAATTGAGGATTTTCTATTGTTCCTCTTCACTTTTCCTTTCTTTGTACTTTAACTTTTTCGCAACAGCTCTCATTGGTTTTGTACATGTTTTCCAAGCAAGGAGTCCTCGATTTGGTTTCTGTTCTCGATTTATCGATGGTGTTGCACGTGTGTGTCCTCGATTTACACCATAAACACGCGCACGCCGCACACGTTCTTTAAGATGAGGCGCGTGCGCATTTGTGACGCAATCAAGCTACATGAGTCGTTTGTCAACCCTGGTTAAAAAAAAAAATTATTACAGATTTGAAAAGAGCACAATCTCAGCATTACTGCTGTGAAAATCGCATGCTGGTACCATCTTTAGTTCAAAAATTATGGAAGTCGGAACGCCAAGAGATGTGATGAAGTGATGTGATGAAATGGCCCTAATTGGGCCTGTATCTCCAAATAAAAATTCCCGACAAACGACTCATTTAGCTTGATCGCATCACATTTTGGTAACCCCTTTGGTTGAAGGAGCCCGGGTGCATGCGTACTACCTGAGCGCGACTCGCGCGAGACTGGTGCCACCGCAGAAAATGGCTGTTTACGAACTAGTCTATACTAATGACACATACAACTAGTCCGACACCTTTGTATACAAAGCTAACATGCAACTGACAATAATAAGCTGATTACAAATTCCAAGTGCAATATTTTGCTTCCTTACCATTGGATAGTCGGTTAGAAACAGCTTTACAGCAACATTTAACAAAATATTAAGTTGAGGGTTAGTACAAATATACACAATAACTTCAATCTCGGGAATTCATTACTAGGCACATTGTTCAATTGTTTTTGTCTAGGTTTTATATTAGCCCTAACAGTCCCGAATCCTCCAATTTTAATACGATTTTGCACACCCCCCTAGGGAGTTGGGGGTAATTCTTCAAACTTTTCTTCTAGAATATGTTTTCAAGGAATGTTTGATTTTTGGAAACCTCTGTTTTTCCATTTTTATTATTATTTTGTTTATCATTTTTGTTGTTGAGGACTGTCATCAGGAGACCACAGTCGATTTCATTACTTCCGTGATTACCCAGCAGTTTCATATTATAAAAAAAAAAAAAATGAAAAGAGGTCAAAACAGGTGATTGTTTTTTCTTTCACATCAGGGCTTACATTTTCATGAATTTCCCAAAGCTTACCTTATCATCAATCGCCTCAGCAATTGCCTGTAACAAAACAAACAGAGAAACAACACATATTGATTAAAAGTTGAATACAATAACAAATTGTCTCATTGTCACAAATTTAAAGGCATATAGGATCATTTGCACTTATCCCAAAAGTAACCTGCCAATTTATAATCAAAGAGCTCACTTGGATTAAAGATTGTACTGGTACTAAACACCCCGTGAAATTACTCCGTCTGGCTTGCTGTCATTTAGAACAACTCAAAAAGTCAGTGATTTCTAACGATCAGTCAGTTGGCTGATCATTAGAAATACAGTGTGCTATGGACGAAATCGTCTTGAAAAAGTTGGGCATGGTTTTTCACTGTTTTCTTGATAAGTGTCACATCAACTGGGCTGCAACTTCAACACTATAAGACAAGTTCTTTTAGAACTTAAAGCAGGACTGTTCTTATCAGAACAAAAACTACTTAGCGAAAGTTGATAATAAGCAGGACAAGTTCTTTTCAGAACTAATATCTTCTAAGCAGTAGTTATTACCACATGGTGTTACCGCAAACCGAAACGATACCGATACTCCACCATGCAAAGCCTCAAATCTGATATTCAACACTTATAGTTCTGAACATTCTTGTTTGGATTTTGAGTGGTGTTATTATTGGAAACAAACAAATTGTATGAAAAGCAAATGATTCTATACTTTAATTAGGAATAGCACTCCAATAATTGTACGTAATAAAAAATTGCAAAGGTCAGGAAAAACTAAATGTATCATATGTCTCATGTTCAACATCTCACCTTAGTAACGGTTCGTTGAGTTTCTTCCTCTTGCGATGCCAGCTTGGCCTGTAAGGCCATGACCCTCGCATCCAGGTCAGCTAAGCCTCGTAACCCGCCCTGGCTCTGCTCCTCAATAAGTAGCTTCACCTTGTCTTGATACTGCGTGCATTATGGAGAAACAAGTCCAACTATCATGAGACTATCCCTGGTCAGAGTTGTAATGACTCGAGTCAATGACTCAACTCAACTCGAGACACAAATTTTGGTGACTCGACTCACATCAAGTCCCTAAGGGTAAATGACTCGACTCGAGTCCCTCATCAGAAGACTATACTCGACTTGAGCGAATGCTAAAAGACTCGAGTCCCAAAAATAAAAGCAAAACTTCGCGAAAAGTATTTGCAATGACTTACAGTGCAAACTTTATGTCATGTCACTTTGGAAATACAGTACGACACAGCAGCCGCTTGTCATTTACAAACATACAGCGTGTCACTTTGTGAATACAGTAAGGTACAACAGCCACTTATCATTTTCAAACATACGTGTCACAGACTCCCACCTCATGGTTCTAGAACTCACAAAATACTATCCAGGAACCGGTTTTAAACACATTTTACAATTCGTTGTTTCATCATTGGCTTTGGGCGATTTCTTATAAAGTTGGATTCGAACGCCAGCTAAATTTGTGCCCTCCTTTTAAATACATTTTGGTATATATATATGGTGTTTAAATATTCGTGACTCGAATTGACTCGAGCTAAATATCTGACTCGACTCGACTCGACTCACCTTGACCTTCTTGACCTAATGACTCGACTCGACTCTAGTTACCTCTTTAAAATGACTCAACTCGACTCGAGTCACTTCTTTAAAATGACTCGACTCGACTCAGTCACAAAAATCAGTGTCTCGTTACAACTCTGTCCCAGGTACAAACAACTTAGGAAGGGCATCCATGCATTTCATACAAGGCCACATATACATCAGGGCGATTCCAGCGTTATGTAACTCCGTGACAGAGCTTTTATGAGCTTATTGAATCATGGAATGTAATATTCAAATCCATCCTCTAGTAATGCCCAAGGCGATTACGGACTAGGCCTTTTGGATCAATTCACTGAATAATTCATTAGATAGGCATCAAGGTAATTAGCTGGCTTTGTCACGGACATTACACTTCCTTTCATAAAGCTGGAATTGCCCATAAAATAAACAAAGCAACTCACAAATACTGGTGCGTACTTCAAATAATATGAAGACAGAGCGAATTTGATCATGCAGCGTCCAGAGTGAATTTTGTGACAATTGAAATGGATTCAGTTTACATGTATGTAAATCTGCAAGAGTTAAAATTCTTTTACATTGGACATGTAAACTAATTTGAGCAAGGTAAATTGTGCACTAGCTATCGACGGTGTCACAATGGAGTGCAGTTTTGAAATAGTTCCGTAAATGAAACTTGATCTGAGTGTACATGAACACGTAGCTACATGCTGGCTTTCAAGCAGACCCAGGTGAAAAAGTATGAAAAAAATTGGATCAAATTACATGTATTCAACAACAAAAAATGAAATAAAAATTTGTCTATTGGTGTTTATGTAAACAGCCCATTTCAGTTGGGTGATCCATATGACACCTTATCTTCAAGCAAACTTGAATCCTCAATCCTGATTGGTTGATCCATGGCAACAAACCATACTGTATTTATACCTAAGACCATGGTCTATACCCCACTCCGCATTTCGCGCTATTCCAAGATGGGCACGCAATTCCCATTCCTGCTGCACAAGTTCATTTTCAGCATGAGTATTCCATCTGCTGTACTGTGGGTCAAGTTTGCTTGAAGATAAATTTGTTATCCAAGTTGTGCTCGTGGAACACGGAATAGTGCGTCTGCTTCCCACATACTACTAGGCCTTCGACCTCGTGGCATGTTGGACACAGACGCACAACATTATTCTGTGTTCCACTTGCGCGATATGCACTTGGGATAATGAATATTCTAGGAGATAATATATACTGTGCGCAAACAAAAGCTATCCCAGAGAGGCCTTTTTGCGCAGCACATTAAGGGCAAAAAGATGACATCAATGCCTATTAAAACCTGTATTCCTCTTGCATATTCACTTGGTACATTTTACATTCGGGAGTCAGGTTGGCGTAGCGGTACTTTCATCACCTACTACTGCTGTGACCCGCATTCGATTCCAGCCTGGGCCAATGTGTGGATTGGGTTTTCAGTCCCTGCCTGACTCCACTGGTTTTGCCCAGAATATTCTTCTGGGGTTTTCCTCCCAACTCTAAAACTGTAACTTCTTCTCAACTGTCTTCTCTCTACCAGTTTCTTCAGGCTTGCAAGCTACGATGCCTAGGGAACTTTTGAGGAATTCTTGGTTAAACTTTCATTACCAGAAATAATTGAAAATAATAATTGTTTATTTATCACATGCTGTTCGTGCAAGGAGCTCGAATTTATCTAATAAACAACACAAATTCATGCTTCTATGTACATGTACGTAGAAGATACAATGAGATGTACTGACAATATGCATGGAAAATGGATTTTGATTTCTGACAAAGAATACAGCAAAATATCTCACCGCATCACTCTCTCTGGGCTACAAACACGATAAACAGTGACCAAAGGAGGAATTAAGGAATGTTTAAAATTAATGAATGAATCACATGATCGGACACAATAGGAGTATAGTATGCAGAGTCAAACAATCAATCTTGATCTCAAATATTGCATACAAGTGTCATCACAGCCCCTATGCATTAATTTCCGGGGGAAAAATAAAATATGTTAGCTCTGTTTTCAGAATTTTATATTAACCCTAACCACCCCAACTCCATCAAAATCCATCCCCTCATTTCGGAGAATTTTGGGGGACTAAGTCCAGAAGGCCTGGCATGACTAAATATTGATGGATTATGATGGACTTGGGCCTAATGGCCTGAAGCAGTGCTAGGGGTATCCGATTGATTTTGCCTAGCTTCCTGTACTGCTATTGTGATAAAAGCCTTGTGTAGCAAGTCCATGAATGTCACCCAGTTCGTCAGTGGTGGATTCCATTATGTCATGTACAGTTTTGTATTGGACGCACAGTGATTGATGGATTTTGATGGACTTGGTCCAGTTCCTAGTAAAAGACGCTAGGGAGATAGGGTGAAAGGCTGTTCTATGATATGACTTGACATCAAGAATAAGACAATATTCAATGTGATCTCTTCAACTGTAAGGCATTATTTTTTCTAGAAAATTCTTCCAGAATTCATCGAAATGTATCATTGGGCAGGGCCCAGACTGGGACCCCGAGTGCCGGAAAAAAAAAATCACGCCAACTTAACTCACTCTTAATAGCTGACCAAATTCTCCAAAATTTTCACTCACTCTTAATAGCTGACCAAATTCTCCAAAATTTTCACGGGCAAAGACAAGGTCCTCAGTATTTCACCAGCCAAGTTTGAGGTCTCAATTCAATTTTTAAACGAGACTTTCTTCATTTTTTTTGCATGTGCGAGTGAACCCAAGTGATTTCAATTTCAAGCCTCAGACTCCAATCCCGGCCAAAATTTACTGGGAACCCACCCCCGCCCCCAGCCTATGTTGTCTCTCACTGCGCAGTCTGTGCTAAAGCGCGAGATGACAACATTGACCGGGGGAGCTGGGGACCGGGGGAGGGTATGCTCATTGTGTGGATGTGTCCTAACCATTTTGGCCGGGATTTTAGACTGGTACATGTCCGACTTTTTGAAAAGATTGACCATTCAGCAGTCTGGTGGCATGACTATGGAGAGAATGTGTAGAAATAGAGACTAGGTACCAGATGTTTCTTTTGGAACAGTTGATTGATGCAGTACTAAAGCGGTGTTGGACTGGTTGTTTCATGTGCCCGTCTATTTTCTTGTATTGCATGTTTGCAATACCTTAAGTTTTGGGACTCTCATACACAGTTTTGAGGTTCCCAAATTTATGGCATGGGCAGGACCCAAATGCATATGTCCCATGTAACATACTAAAGTGGCTGAGCTGTACGTTTATGATACAGATGACCAGAGCTGTCCGACATACCTGGCTAGTAGCTGACGATACTTGCTCATTGATGCCTCCGATGGCCTGCTGCAAGGTGGAGATGGCCACGCCCAGCTTCTCTTGAACGTCCTCTATCTTGTCTTCAATCTGCTTGTCTTGATTTTGCCTAAAAATGACCCAAAAAATTATAACATGTTACTGGACTTTTGACTGACTCAATAACAGCTGTGGAAAATACGACAGTTCATACAAATCAAGACAGCAGGCATAAGGCTGGAATTGAATTTATTTCCCTTGCTATCAGTCATCATGACAAGACCTCAGTTTAATGCTCAAGGGTAAATGATTCCAGTCCAAAACCTCATTAGCCATTTCGCGACATGCAGGATTTTACACAAGTTACATAACACAGCACTTAAGTTAATTAAGGCAGGAAACTTGGTCACAGTGTCCAAAATGTTGTTGTGATCGATTGACCATTGTGTAGTGATGCATGACTGAAATTTAATAAAACTCATAGGGGTTTAGGCCAAGGATAAGGAGTATCTGCACAATCAAACATTTCCAATATTGACTTAAAGGTTTTGTAGTTATTTCAAAAAAAGTCAGACAGACACTTTTCTTTGGGACATACTGTTTATTAAAACCAGGCATATCTACTCAAATGCCATAGAGCAAATGCATGATATAGTAATGTTCCATCTGATTACGGCAATTAATTACGGGAGTAAAAGGTTTAAAGAAGAGAGTACGCAAAGAGAGAGAAGAAGGCTGGGGAAGATACAGTGTACAAGAAGCAAAAGAGAATATAGCACTTCCAGTTTGTCTCACCTTGACTTGATCTCAGCTTTCATGACGGCTTCTAGTTGTTTCTTGGTCTCGTGTTGCATCTTCTCCAGTTTGTCCATATATTCATTTACCTTGGACATGCCGCCCACATTCTTGTGCCTGTCCAACTGCAAAACACAGAGCATCACATGCTGTAAGATATCATGCAAAACAATATTCTAAAACAAAAACAAATGTTTCAATAAACCCCAAGAAGCTTGTCAATTGTGATTTTGAAGTTACATTTTTCTGAGACATGATCATTCAATCCAGAAGTCTTAAAAGTTTAAATACGAAATAGGCTTGTGTAACTCTGCACAATACATTGTCTATAATTTATTCCAAACTTGGAATTGGAATTGTGACCCCACTTTGTTTTTATGTAATCAACTCTTTGCAGTACCCAACATGAAGTTCCCAGAGAGTTGATTCCAGGCACACTAATTTCACCAGGAGTTGAAAAATTGGGCAAATCAGGGAAGAAGTCAATCGTACAAAGCATCTGAATAACATGAAATGTATTACAGAGCTAGCTGATCTGTTTTATCTGTAGAAACTTTCATAGATGCTTTTCTCTCCAATTTTAGTGTCATTTCTGAAAAGATTACCGAGTCCTAGTCTGGGCCCAAATTCATGACTCTGCTTAACGTTAGCAAAAATTCCCTGCTTACTGAAGCGGAAAATTGTGTGCTTGTGGTAAGCATATTTCATGGTTTAGCCAGGAAATTTGGCTCACAAAATGCACATGTGTACATCCTGTAAACTAGGAATCTGTTCTTCCTGGGCTGGCGCATATTTTTTTTTTGCTAGCACTGTAGCACATAACGGTGATCGTGAGTGCGACTTCTGTGCTGAGCAGCACCACGGAATTGGGCACTGGTTGGAATCGAAATTGAATGAAACATAAGGCTGTGTCCGTATTACTTGACTACGGCTCACACTAACACACTCCTCTATGGGATGTGGCTTCAGCGGCCACCAATAATGCATGTGTAACCGCAAGCCGTAACCAGTTCGGATGCGGTCTAACTCTTACTTTCTGTCCTTCTCTGACGTGTAGTACTTCCTCTTCTGTGAGTTTCTGTAGTGCAGCCCACCTCTTCTCATTCTCCTCTCGCATGGCTTGCTCGTGAGCGATACGAGCAGCTTGCTCAGCATGGAGATACTGTGTAGGGAACAAAGAATATATGAGTGAGTTTCTTTGAGTAACAGTGAGTTTCTGTTACAGCCCATCGCTTTTCATTCTCCTCTCGCATGGCTTGCTCGTGAGCGATACGAGCAGCTTGCTCAGCATGGAGATACTGTGTAGGGAACAAAGAATATATGAGTGAGTTTCTTTGAGTAACAGTGAGCTTCTGTTAGGCAGCCCATCTCTTCTCATTCTCCTCTGGCATGGCTTGCTCATGAGCGATACGAGCTGCTTGCTCAGCATGGAGATGGGGAGCCAGGTGTGGAAAGTTTTGTGTTAACGTTTAAATGTTATATAAAATTTCCCTGAGAAGTTTCCAAAATTCTATGAGAGATATTTTCAATTTAACGAGGCTACTGGGAAGTCAAGAGATACAGTGTGTAGCTCAGCCAATTGTTATTGTCTGGAGAGGTGTGTCATCTTTACACTGCATAAACACTAAAAAAAAACCACCATAGCCTGTCAGTCAATGGTCACAGCTTGGACACATGGCACAAGAGGCACATACACCAAACTGGTGAAAAACAAATTCCCTTCTGGGTCACTGTCAAGTTTTTCCAAATTGCCTGATGTTTCCCTCACTGGAAAAATAGAAACTAATTTTCAAAATATCCATGATTTCCGGAGTGGCTTGCAACTCTACAACTGGGGATCTTTACCACTTTCCTATTACTGCATTGGTGCAAGGCAAGTCACAATTCAACCACAAGTTGACCTATGGTCTTTAATCAAACCCTTGCTCTGTACTGTACCTCTAAATGTCATCTTGCTATTTTTGTCATGCCGTGTCATAAACAGCACACAGACACCTCTGCCTACCTTCTCAATATTCCCAAACTTTTGCTGGGCCTCCTCCCTCAGTCTGATTTCCTTGGAGAGTATCTTGCGGCTGACCTCCTCAGCAATCTCGGCAATCTTGCCCTGCATCTTGAGCCGTTCGTTGTCGGCGGCGTGCTCCCGCTCTCTCTGGACCACGTCGATGGTGTGTATGGTCTCGTCGCGCTTGCGCGACTGCTCATGGACCTGGGACTGGATGTCATTCAGCCTGTCAGAGGGGACTTTTTTATTAGTATCATTCATTACAACCTGAAAAAAACCCTACCTGGTGAGGTTCTTCGTGAATCATAGCAGAAATGGAAATATTGGCATGGAACGTCAGACAACTAGCCATTTGAGACTGGCCAAAACATTAGAATTTTAACTTGTATATTTTGCAAATACACACACACATACAAATATCTAGCTGAAAGCAAATAGGATAAACCATTTATGTCTTAAGATTGCAAAATCATAGAGATTACCCAGAGAATTTCAGGAAAGTTCTTGTGATATAATAAACAATTCTAAAAAATATTGGCTCCACCATATTTTAAAGTTGGTGTATGCTCCAAGTTGTGTGCGAACTACATTTTCAATTTTCTTTTAGACTGCCAGAAAAATTTCGGATTGGGGCTTTCAGTTACCACTATCCAGCTGTGTGTGAACATGTTTTTGCCCAAAAGTTCATATCATCGAAGAAAACTGGAGTAGCAAGCTGGCTGAAATACTGACAAAACTGTCAAATAACCATAGAGCTATATTAAATTACTAGAGCGCTGACTCATGTCCAAAGTGATGCCAACTGGGTGCATCCATGTTTGTGCAGAAACCTACATGTATGGAGAACTAGAAATTTTGTGCACATTTTGTACGTCTATTTGCATATCTGCATTTGTATTCCATACCAGTGCGTCATCGAATCCGATACGCCCAAAACCTAAACGCACGATCAGCAAAATGAGCGTTTCGTTTTGCTCTACGCAAACAGTGCAACGTGTGCGCGTATCCCCTGCAGGTGATTAACCATTTTTTTTTTTCAAACCATAAACATGCACTTAAGAAAATTGTGTATGTTCTACTTGCGCGTTGCATTTAGAGTACACTTCCAAATTCAAGCCATCTATTTTCAGTGTGTTCTACAAACACGCACATGTCTGCGCCCAGAAAGGCTTCAAAGAATCTCCGCGCACAAGAATGAGGAGTTAGTGCTCTAGTAATTTAATATAGTTCCATGCAAATAACAGAAATTTACTTGAGGAAGAAGTTCTGCTCTTGTTGCCTTCTCTCCGTCTCCTCCGTGGTGACTCGATTCCTGAGATCCATCAAGACATCCCTCACCTCACCAAGTCTGCCAAAAATCAAGCAAGATAAAAAATAAATTCATGCAGAGTTGCAGTTGAGTCCATCGCAAGTCCATCACAAGCCCAATCACAACTAAGGTCCCAAGTAACAGGGAATGAACAATGACAAAGGAACACCTCAATCACTATCATTCATAATATGGAATTTTGCGTCGGGGTGATGTGAATCAAATTAGGTTTTACCCTTCACCGACGTATAAACACTGTATATACTCAGTGTGTTACCTCCCGAGTGAAAGTTGGAAAAAAATCACTCGGCTGGGACTCGAACCCACGACCTCCTGCTTTCTAGTATTTACATCATATTCAAATCAGCCAACCGATCCTGTTAGCTCCGTGGTCGAGTGGTAAGACATCTGCACTAGAAAGCAGGAGGTCGTGATTGATGAGTGATTTTTTCTCACTTTTACTCAGGAGGTAACACACTGAGTATAAGTGTTTGTATACATGTACAGTATACATGAAGGGCAACACCTAATTCGATTTCCATCACTTTTCTTTAAAAAATCTGGCACATGACTTTAAACTAGATGACTTGTGACTGACTTTTGAGGACTTAACTTCAAATTCCCAATCAAATTGTCAAGAGATGAGTACTGAACATGAAAATGAAACTGCACATGCATGCAAACAATGAATCCTAACTGCTCACATTCCACCAACACCTGATATTTGTGTGTGAAAAAGTTTGGGAATGTTTTCCCACTTGTGTGAAATGGAGTGAGATTTTTTTTCCCAAAGGTGGGGTAAGTTTTTCACAATAGTCATGATAGTGAACTGGACATAATTTTTTTGGGAAAATTAAAAGTATGAAAAGAATTTCCCATTCCCAGGTTAACTTTAAATTGCAATGTACTGTAGTCATGCTTTTAATGGATAAACAGAATGTGAAACATGCTTTAAAATTAAAAAAAAAAAAAAATAGAAATTAGAAAGAACATCAGAACAGCAAGAGAGCAGATTCATGGACAGAACACAAACTGGCAAAATTAAAAAAATAGAATCAGAAATCCTAAAAAAAAAAAGATTAATTTTTCTGACCGTAGGATCTGTGTCAATATTTGGTCAATGGTTATCGAAAGAGGATACCATATCTTCACAAGACAATATTGCAAAGTAAAGAAAATATGAGATGAAAACAAAATAAATTTACCAAATGGAGTTGTGGAAATTTCAATGAGGGTTTAAAAAACCTTGAATTAAATTTCCTTGAAATGTTTCTGATTTAGTAATCAATGATAATTATGTAAAGTAGCATAATCCTTGATGCATGATCAATGTTTTATGCCAGGTAATTTATGGTGAACGGATCCCATTCCGAATCAGTGAGCCGAAACCCCTTAATTGCCGGCAAATTTTGGAGGAAGTTCAAGCGTAGCTTTGCCAACAATGACCTGCTCATTGTCAAGGTTGTTCTTTCATTACAAAGGAGCGCTTTTAATATCCGTACACTTCAATAAGGCATTTTCTGCATCGATGCAGCAGGCCTGGACCGCTAATATGAACATGTCTGGGCAATTTTTTGTATTTACGTCTAATAAAATATGAAGATCAACTCAGGTGGAAGATATCTCTTTGAAAATAATTACTCTTGCTGCGGTACATCTGGGCCCAATTTTATGGCTCTACTAACCACAGAATTCCTCGTTTTTGATCTGCATGTTGCGCTAGCAGAATAATTCCGTGCTAACCCTGTAAGCACAGAATTCTTAGTTACGGGATGTACGCATGCGCAGATGCCAAAATTCCTCGCTAACCCGTGAAATATGCTTAGCGCAAGCATGGAATATTCTGCTATAGTAAGCAGGGATTTTTCGCTTAACAGTAAGCAGCACCATTAAATTGGGCCAAGCATGACATTGAATTACTTTCCTTGGGCTCTGTATTGTGCCAAAACAAATTCTGGCATCTCCATGGTCACCATGGTGAATCATTCAAAAACTTTTTAATCATTGTTTTGAGTTTTTGTTGGTTTATGTACTGGGAAATATGTATATATTTTTTTCTCCAAACAACAACATGTTTTCTGTTTACAAATTAACATTAGATCAACAGGAATTGTCAGGTATCATCTGCCAAGCATTCTGGGAAATTAAAATTATCAGCATGGAAGTGAATAGCTACCGAGAATGTACGTTTATTTTTATGTTTTCTCCACTACTTTCAATATTTGGGAGTACTTTTTCCAGTGCTCACTTAAGAAAATCCAAACTTGGCAAAATCTGACCATTAAATGTCACTTTGGATGTAAATTATTTTTAAGAAGCCAGACACTTAATTACTACCGTAGTCGATAATTACTACCGTAGTTGATAATATAAAGGAAAGCTTCAGATTCAGACATCCAGCGTGAATGGACTTTACTTCTTTTGAATCTTTTGAATTTAAATTTCACACACAAAAATCGGTGCTGACGTAAATGGCTTAAAATGGACACGATCACCATGACAACCACTACTCACAAAAAGTGCTATTCAGTGTGCACAAAAGCTGCCATGAAAACACTTACATGTTATTGTTGGGAATAGCGAGAGTGTTTTGATGTATTTACTCAGGAAGTCCAACAGAGTAGATAATTCATTTGTTACTGGCCGTGTTCAAGGAAAACATGCAAAAAGCTCCAATGGTTTACCATAATTAATCATGCTGGCAAATTTCAGTTATAAGAAATTAAAGGGAATATACAACATTTGCAAACATCGAAAAATAAAACTACCACGTTTTTATGAAATACTATACTAGAATGTTGGTAAATGACAGTCTAAAGCATCCTGCAAAATTATGGCACCTGGTGTGAAGTCGTTTTCAAGAAAATTGTATTTTTGTGTACATTTCCAACGGTGGTCGGCCGACCACAGATGGAAAAACCTAACTATTTTTCAACTACTGCTCCAAATTTACCATTTTTTCAATTTTGTTTGCTATTGGTAACATGTTCACAAACGGGTGCAGGCCAGCTAGACTGCAGTTCCGTTACCTTACAATTTTCCGGCATCTATAAATTGATCCATTTCATATTTAGTGGAGTCAGGGAACCAGACTACTTGAACATTTTTGTTTCTCTTGGTTTTTCCAGCATTTTCGAACACAAAACTTCAAACATGTCAGTGTAACAAAATTTGATCTATCATACTAACCCCTCAAATAGTTTATTTCTGAAAATTACAGCAAAATCCAATGATGTACATTCTCTTTTATAAGTGTAGTCATAAGAATGGGGCTTGTCAACCGGTATGTCAAATGTTCCGTAATTTTCAAAAAGTATCAAAATGTACTTATCGCTTCAAATCTGCAATGAGGATGTGAATTTGCATTTAATATTGCAAACGTTCAGCAAATATTTAGAATACTGTTTAAATGTTTAAACATTTAGGCATTTCACAAAGGCCGATGCCTGCCTATTATGTCTGCAGACCGGCGTGATTGACATGACAAAATCAACAATGGCCATGGATTGACATAATAAATAGCGGCCAGTCATTGAAAAAATAAAAATTTAACTACGTGAACCCTGAATGTTATCAAGCACTGCAGCGCTTCTAAGGTTTTGTATATCAAATAGGTTTAAAAACATCGTTAATTACTTGTGCTTTGTACGTTTAACTCAAAGGAAGATGGAGTGAACGTCGGTTACTTATTTAAAATGCAGGTTTTGTTTAAACATTTTTTTTGTTGAAAAGTGGTAAACGGATTTAGAATTGTTTTCATTTAAAGGGGCTTCACGGCCTGAAATCCCCGAAATTTGTTATGTTTTGGATCGTTTACTTATCTTAATTCAAAGGTCTGGTTGAAAGGAAAGGAAGTTACTGAGAAATGATGGGAAAAAAACCCTGGTTGTTTACATCGGATGCAGCAGATATTTATGGCATACGGATGTACATGTATTTCTAGCCGTGTCAATTCAAAGTACAGTGTGTGTGACACAAAATACACACAGCACCAATACACACATTTTGTTTCCCGCCCGTCCACAGAATGCGATGCACTGGTGGAACACGTGCGGCTGGATTCACGACTAGCACCCAACAGCTCGCTTTTCAAGAGCCAAAATGTTGAACCCTGCAATTTGTTCTCGTAAGAATAACCCCAAAACGCCCGGCTTTAAAAGAACTGTTGTGTGGAAAGTTACATCATTCTTTTAAATGCTCTTTCCGATAAATATTGTTTTGTTTCAAACTCGTTTTGTAGCCGAACTGGACGCATTCCAAGTATATATCCCTTTAGAAGTGTAAAACATATAAATATCACATCCTTAATTTTCAACATTTTGGGGAAAAAAAACTCTACACTCCTGTTTGGATTTTGGTGATACAAATGCAGTTAACAAAATAGGAAAGTCAAAATTAGGTTTTGCCCTTCACCGACTTATTAACACTATATACTCAGTGTGCCACCTCTCGAGTGAAAGTTGGAAAAAAATCACTCCGGTGGGGTTCGAACCCACAACCTAATATTGATTAACATCACCCGACACAAAGTTCATATTACAAAAATAGGAAAGGCAAGGATTATAGAATGCTGATATCAATGTGAGGAGAGAGAAATGGAAGGTTTTAGGCAGTTACCTAGCATCCAGCTGAGTCCTGAGCAGAGATGTAGTCTGCTCGGATGAGTGTTGACTCTCATGCATTTTACGCTGGTGATCCATCTTATATAAGCAGCATTAAAATATTCATGAACAGAAAGCCCCGCAGATGAGAAATGGCACCAAAGTCATGCAATGAATGGATGGGGAAATGAGTACACATGTACATTTATGTACGTTGCCATGCTGAATTGAATGATGTTGTAGTTAAGACATTCTGAAACCTGACTCCAATAATAAAATTGATGTTCCAGACTAACAGTCTAATGGCTTTAAGTAAAAAAAAAAAACACCAAATGTCGGGACCATTGTTTAAGTGAAGTTTCGCATGCAGCACTTTCAAAATCTAGGATATAAAAGCCACATTCATAAGCTTTCTTTTAGTACAAGAATCATTCAAATCACTTATGTACCTTTTAAGTTATGGAGTTTTAAACACAACCACCGTTTTAAAGTTCTGTCCACGGATCACAAAGAAGGTGTGCATTCTTTCAGCAAAACGAAAACAGTTCACACACATCCTTACAGTATGTGATTTGCTTTCGTTTTGCTGAAAGAACACTGAACTGTTTGTGATCCGTGGACAGAACCTTAAAATGTCGGTTACTCCGTAACTTGAAAAGTACATAAGTGATTTGAATGATTTTTGTACTAAAAGAAAGCTTATGAATTGGGCTTTCATAATAAAGTGCTACATGAAGAACTTCACTAAAACAATGGTCCCGACATTTGAGTTTTGGTTTTTTTTACTCACCCTGTATAAATTCTCAATTGACCAAGTTCCTCTGTACAGGGCGAGTAAAAAAAAATGGAAACCCAAATGGCAGGACCAATTTTGAATGAAGTTTTGCCAGTAGCACTTTCAAATATCCAGGATATGAAAGCCCAGTTATTAAGCTTCCTTTTAGTACAAGAATCATTCAAATCACTCAATGTACTTTTCAAGTTACAGAATTTTGAACACAAATACCGTTTTAAAGTTCAAAAGTAAGTGTTCTTTCAGCAACACGAAAACAATTCTCATTGGGATGCATGTTAAATGAAACTCAAGTTTCACAACTTTTTCCAAGTGAGTTTCTTGAATGATTGTTTATTGCATCCCGGAAAGGTAACAGTTAACACTGGGTTTTGCCCTAGTACAAAGCTCAGTATTAAAACATAATGTCAGTGTAGCCAAAATCAAAATGGGTTTCATTTTTGGAGCATCCTCACATCATATGAAATATACATGTATACTCATTTTCCTTTGTTAGCTGTTGTCAATCGAAGATGAAAAAAATCTGTCATATCAAAGCTGTTATTAATTAACGGTTAGCAAAACAAAATGTGAGTCATGATACACTGCAAATGATGATGAGTAAACAAAAAAATGATTAAAGGCATGCCGGTGATGACTGTAGGAGAGTTTCACTTGAAAAGCAAGAACAAAATGAGACATTCAACTTTTGAGACAAATTCATCAAATCAGGCCCACTTCACAAGAAATAAATATTCCTTGCGGAATAAGATGTTAAAGCTTTTCGGATGCTATCTCTTCAGTTTCAGCCAAAACAAAATGAAGCACTTTTCTCTTGTTTTATTTTGTATTTTTCATAAATTTCTTATTTTTTTTCCGGCACAACAAAAATACAAAATGCAGTGTCAATGAAAACTTCATGGCATGTATTGTTATGCCAAGTATGAAAAAAAATTAGTAGTTTGTCATCCGGACCCTTTTTTTTTTTAAATAAAGGAGGCGGGCACTCCCCCCTCCCCAAGATGGCGAGTTTTCCAAGACGGCAGATGGATTTCTTCAATTTTCTCGAATTGTTGCTAATACAAAATTGTGTCCAAAGAAGCCATGACACTTTTACATAGCAACAATTTTGTTGAAAACAAATAAAAAGACAATATACTGACAATATATGTGTGACAATTTATGTGCAAATATGAATTTAAAAAAATTCAATAATTCAAGTTGGTTGGGAAAAAAGGAAACGGGCAGAAACAAGAAACTAAGTTTTTTTTTTACATGGCTTTCATTGCAGCATTTTCCTACAATGATCATTTACAAATGAGAATATCTTTGGTCTGTGAAACAGTTCTGTCCATTCCACACCCAAGGAATATTGCGCAGTTACAAGGCTTCACCCGCGGACCACTTCAGCCGCTTCGCAGTCAAGTCGCCCGCGAAAAACTCGCGAATACAAAAAGGCATGCACCTTTTGCATTCCATGTTGCACAGCGGTGAGGAATGAGTGAGCGGGCACTGCAATAATCACATGCTAATTGTCTCATTGTGTTCTCTGCTTCAAGGACTTTCGCTACAGTCGATTTGTCACGTTTATGAGTAGTCATTACACACACGCACACAACACCAGACTCATCAAATGACTGCTACACGTGAGACCAATGACAGCAATAAATTAACGGGAACAATATAGAACTGGTCATGTGGGCCTAAACTGTAGATCCATTAAACCACTGGATACCATTTACTCATAATAATCACGCTATTTTCTAGCGTTAGGCCCAATTAAATTTCAATTCAAAATGCTGGGGAAAAAAATGTGCCGATTGTATTAAAGGGAATATACAACATTTGCAAACATTGGAAAACAAAACTGCCACATTTTTACGAAATGGTAAATGAAAGTCTAAACGCCCGTAAAGTTGTGGCACCTGGTGTGAAGTCATTTTCAAGAAAAGTTGTATTTTGTATAAATTTCAAATGGTGGGCGGCCGACCAAATTCCCTAGCAATCCAGCCATGCTCTTTGTTTGGCCCAAAACAGTGATAATGTGTACAAAATTATGCAATTGATGACACATGGTACCGATAAAAAGTTGCACTTTTCAAGGCGTGCAAGTTAAGTGTGAACCACAACTTGCACGTATACAAAAGTGCAACTGTTTCCAGTATCATTTGTCATAAATTGCATAAATTCGTACACATTATCACTGTTTTTTGCTAAATAGAGAGTATGGCTGGATTGCTAAGGAATTTCTGTACTGATTGTTATTTGAGCGAGAGGTACTCAGTAGTTTTTGAGTTAGAGGAAAAAAGTATTGGAAAGGGGGGGGGGACTTTCTTTTTCGTTTAGTGTATTAGCAATTCAATATAGCTCTATGACCACCACTGTACCAAAACATATCGCTGGGTGCACCACAGAATGACGAATATGATAGTTTTTAATACCGCACCAGGAAGTGACGGATTGTCTATGGACTTTGCGCACAGGATACGTCAAATCATGGTGCGGCAACTATCCACGATATGTCATTTTGTGGTGCGACCGACAATATACAAGACATCAGGTCCCGCGTGTAGCAATGAGTTGATGGATACCGGTTGACCGTGGCTGGTCACCAGCCACACATACTCTACCTGGCACTCATCTGTAACCTGAGCTGGGTCAGGTTCTTGTCAGAGTTCAACTCCTGGTCGCTATGCTGGATGCGATATCTAGAGATCTAGACGAGAGAAAACGTGCAAGGTGGACACACAGAGGACATAAACACAATCGTCAAACAAGGCATACATGTACGTACACACATACAGAGCCACTGACATAAGGTAGGTACACAGGACTGTGTGGGCTGATCACAGCAAGAACTTAGGGGTTTTAGTCAAACAGGATCCACAATTGTTAATTTCACTGACATGTGTTTGGATTGAAGTGCAAGATTAGGATGGGATGGCTGTGTCAAAATCGTCATCGGCATCGTGAACTGACACTCAATTGCACGTGAGTGCGCTGCACGCGCGCGTATTTTACAGAACCAGGATATATTGGGTTTCACGAACTAACATCCTCCACAGTGCGGCACTTTTAAAGCACACCCCGTACATTTTTGGTTTCACGAACTGACACTGACCTTAACCCTAAAGGGGCCGGGGGGGGGGGGGGGCGGAATCCACCCCCCCCCCCCCTCAACATTTTCCGTGATAGCCTCTAAAAAATTTTTTTCGCAACCCGAGCTGTTATGACTTTTTAGCCTCGAGCTTTGCGCATCTTTTGAGACCAAAAACATAAAAATCGGACCACGGGTTGCCGCGTAGCAAAAAAATTTCTGGCGCTACGCGCCGTGAAAACTAAATTTTCACATATACGTTGTGTACACAGAGCAGAATTGCCATTCATACATATGAATAATTAATTAGCCATAATTCCAAAACCCTTTGACCTATAGTCATGAAATTTCTTGGGTATGTTTAGGAAGAGTTGCTCTATGCATGTGCCGAGTTTCAAAATTTTTCGTCACTCGATCCTTGGGGGGGGGGAACCGAATCCGCCCCCCCCCCCCTCGGCTGAGACCCGGCCCCTTTAGGGTTAACTTCACCAATTAAAACGGTTTTAAAAAATGTTTGTGTAAGCACACAAGTATACGGATGGATTAAATTCGTGTAAAACCTTTCAAACCGTTTTTCTCCGTTCTGTATTGCCGCATCATGCTTGGGTGTCAGTTGGTGAAAACGAAAATCTTCCTATTTTGCGTCAGTGTCTGATGTGGGCGAGCACTACCGGGTGTCAGTTCATGGAACTGAAATTGTTGATTACGTGGTTTTCACGAACTGACACCCACTTGTGTGAGAGTGTCAACTCGTGGTGCCGATGACGAATTGATTTCAACTCATATCAAACAATTGCTCTGGCAACATCATTACAGAGTGGAATCGCAATACATTTTTATGTGTTTGCACGGACCATTAAATAAAACATTAATTCATATGCAATTTGTGGCCAAAAGAGTCAGAAATTGCCTGACTTTTTACTGAAGTAGACTGATGCTAATCTTTCTCCATCAGTCATTTTAAGTTTCCCTTTTGAAATATGTCTTCATTCTATTCAACAGTTGCTGCTTACTGCAACTGGGCAATTCCGCAGTTACTCACGCTACATTTTTGAAGTACTTTTGAGTTTCCTTGGGCTGTAATTACCTTACTGAAAAGGTTTAATAACTGTTATCCAGAGTTGTAATGACTCGAGTCAATGACTCGACTCGAGTCCGACTCGAGTCACATTTTTTGGTGACTCGACTCGACTCGAGTCCCGACGGGTAAATGACTCGACTCGACTCGAGACACTACGAGCAAATGACTCGACTCGACACGAGTCCCTCATCAGAATGACTCGACTCGACTCGAGGAAGGCTAATAAGACTCAAGTCCCAAAATAAAAACAAAACTTACTTGCGAAAAATATTTGCAATGACTTACGCTGCGCTGTTCGCGTAATTTTTTTTCCTAGGAGGGTTAGGGGCAATGTCATGAATAATTCAGTTTTTCCTTTGAATCATTGCAAGACTTAGATTCTCGTTCTATGTTCCCCTTAATTTAAAATTATCTCAGTGATAAATTTGGAGAAGAAAAATAGCTGATGAAAATGAGCAGCGACGACGTGGATTCGAACCAGGGATCTTTGTATCCATAGCTCATCTCGCTATCCACTAGGCTACTGTGTGGTAGCTCGACGACAACCGTTCTTTGAAATGCTTTAATAATAATGTATTGTAACTAGTTGAGTAACTAACAACAATGCTGTTGATGTCATTGTCCGTTCTCATGGATTAACATGAATTATTCATGACATTGCCCCTAACCCTCCTAGGAATAAAAATTACGCGCGCCGTTCGCGTTGCCAGTTTTTGTTCACGTCACGTTAATGTTCGCGAATAATGTACGTTTATATACAGCGGCAGTCTGTTTCCTTCCTCCATAATGAAACAACAAACATACACCGTGTCGCGGACTCCCACCTTGTGGTTCTATAGCATGTAATGCTAAACCCGGAACCAGACTTAAAACGCATTTCTCAATCCGTGGTTTCATCATTGGTTTCGGGCGATTTTGAAGTTCTTGGTGGAATGCTGGCTAAATTCATGTCCCGATTTCACACACAAAAATGGATACGGACGGGCCCACCTTTAAATAATCAGAAACAGTTTTGTATAATGCAATTAGGTTTTAACGTTGTCAGCGATCAGCGAACAACAAAATCTAGACCCGAAGCCAAACCAGTTATAAGACCGAAGTTTCACATCTTCTTATCTGTGACGTGAGCTAGCAATGGAAACTGTTGGTTGGGTACCATACAGCATACTTTATGTCTTTGGATTTCCGTAATAGACTGGTGCCTTGTATTCTTTCTCTCTTGTGTTTGTTGCTTTTTATTGTAATTAAGTGTTCAAATATTTGTGACTCGAATTGACTCGAGCTAAATACTTGACTCGACTCGACTCGACTCGGCCACACTCTGTGACTCGACTCGACTCGACTCGACCTTGTTGACCTAATGACTCGACTCGACTCGAGTCACTTCTTTAAAATGACTCGACTCGACTCGAGTCACAAAAATCAGTGACTCGTTACAACTCTGCTGTTATCCCCATGGTAGATAGAGTAGACCTAGACCTACCTAAGCACCAATGATGACATCCAGAAAAATGTATTATGTCATGTTGTATGATAAACAAGACACACAAAATCGGTTACTCACGTTACATTTTCGTAACGTGAGTAACTGATTTTGTGCGTCTTGTTTATCATACATAACACATTTTTCTGGATGTCATCCTTGGTGCTTACATGTAGGTAGGTCTAGGTCTACTCTATCTACCATGGGGATAACAGTTATTAAACCTTTTTCAGTAAGGTAATTACAACCCAAGGAAACTCAAAAGTACATCAATAATGTACCGTGAGTAACCGTGGAATTGCCCAACTGCGTATTTTGCATTGAATGTCCCACGAAAAAACAGTGAACTTCATGATTCACACATGTATTTTGTACAGAGACAATATTGTATTGACTTTTTAGTGCACTGTTATTGGCTTGGCAAAGAAGGAAACACACAGCAATGAATGAGTGGGGACCACGTTCAGTAACGATCCTTACCTTCTGTTACTCCCAAGTAGAGGACACAGATGCATAGATCAACATTACACAATATACAGCATCAGTAACAATAGCAAACATTTAGGTATTAACACTTCAAATATCAAATATTTTTCGACCTCAATGCACATAACAGAGCAGGAAAATACAAGTACAACAAAGACACAAAGTTAAATCCATGTTGTTTAGACAAAAAAAAGGTTCGTATTACTTTACTTCAAAGAGGATGAAAATTAACCTATCGCAGTAGAATCACATGAACGCAGCTTGTGAAATATTGTCCAATTACATGATATACAAATGGACACGGAATGCGCAAAATCTGAGACAAACAAAACTTAACGTACAAAATTCCAGGGTAGTCGAAGGGACGTGGTTAACTCGCAAACGGCGCTACATGTAGGTCAATCGGTCAACTAGCCAACAACAACTCCTTCAAACACGTTCACTCCTTTGGGAGTATGGGCTCCGTGCACAAGTACCCCCTCAACGGTAAGAAAGGGAGAGTTGGGGGAGACCACCAGGAGGGACATTCGAACGCATTGCTGACGACGCCTGACACTCACGCAAAGACGCTATGGCTTTGCGCATTCAGAATAAATTTAGTTGTGCGTACTTTGTGCAATAGGTGCGCAAACCATTACGCATAGGGCAATTCCACACCAAAGTGGACATGACACCAAAAATTCAAATACATGTGACTTAAACAAATTTGGCATCAAATGAAAGCTAAAAGTTTATATTTTCAAGATTTGAAGTCAGAATTTTATTTTTGATACATTTCGGTACCAAAAAATAGGATTACGTAATAATCCTGTTTTAATCCTAAAAATGTGATTAATAGTGATATGAAAGTATTCTACCAATACACACACAAAAATATGTACTAATGCCATCAGTTTCTGTCATGAGAAAGTATTGGCCTTGAAAAACTGACTGAAACTTGTTTTTAATGTTTTGCGTAATTTGTTTCGCTTTAGTGACTTCTAATATTTCAGCCTTCGAAAATGTCCTTCCGTTACCGTGGAATTGCCCCATACGCAAAAAGCGCCCTCTCTTGTTCACGCAGGGAGCCCATGCAACTACACAGGGTCATCACCAAATGCAGTAAAATGCCTTGCCCAAGGACACAATCACAGTGAAGTTAACCTGGTTTGCTTCTAAACCAAACTCCTGACGATTTTATCACAAGACATATGTACAGGGTGTCCCAAAAAAATGCTCCACTCTCCTTTTTTTACAAATTCAAGCAAACCTGAATGCATAAATTTTCTTATTATGCATGGTAAGAATGCTATGTGTCTTGGTTGTTATCTACCAAAAAAAGTGAACAATTGTTACGTGTGGTTGATTTACAAATAGGTATTTTTAGTCAAAGTCCAATAAATGGACAATGCCATGGTTGGTTGGTTTTCTCTGGTATGCTTGATAACGACTGATGACTGGTCTTTCATAATAGCTACCAGGTAGAATTTTTGAAAAGCACACTTGACAAAAATCGACATTTTAAAATTGGTGATTTGAGTCCCCAGCGCAGTTGGCAAATGGAGGCGAGTTCATATTTAACCATTTCTGTCCCTAGTGGATTGATAGTATGATCCAATTTTTTTTGGTAGATAACAACCAAGACACATAGCATTCTTACCATGCATAATAAGAAAATTTATGCATTCAGGTTTGCTTGAATTTGTAAAAAAAGGAGAGTGGAGCATTTTTTGGGGGGACACCCTGTAGAGTTGTACAAGATTTTTGAAAAGAATCAACACTTTTGAAAACTTGAATGTTTTGCTCCTCACCAGTGTTCTGTTGTCCTCCTCTAGTCTCTTGGTGCGCTCCTTGACGTCATGCACAATGCTGGTCGATTCCATGTGCTGAGTGTCCACTTTGCCCTTGATGGCTCGCACTTCGTCCACCAAGGTTGTGGTTGCTCTCTCCAGCTGCTCCCTCAGCCGATTGGCCTCGTCCAAGTCGTTGCGAAGCTCAGCGATTCTAGCAGATTTAATACCACAAAACGACTTTTTAAACCAACTTGTTAAAGTTGAACAAGGTGCTATCAAAATCTGACGTTCTCAAAAGCCTTGTGACATCACAGCAAGTCTCTGCACTGAGATTCACACAAGTTGGACACATTGCAACTCTGGAAAATTTTGCAGAAAATGTTTTATGTCCTCACATGTTATCACATTCGCAATCCTGGCAGTATGAACCAGGCCTTAACTCTGAAGTTCATTCTTAACTGCCTGGACATATTTACCTAGGAAAGTATGTATATCCTCCAAATTTCAATACTTTGCCTTAAACCAACTTGAAAATTCTTTGCAACTGATGTAAAAGTGAGTATGTAAACACCGGCAATCATGGGCCTAAGACAAAAAGGTTAGTGCACAAACAATATGGGTACGTCCATAATTGACCGATAGTCCAAGATTGAAACTCATGTACAAAACCAATGAGAGCTGTTGCTAAAAAGTTACAAACAAGAACTGAGTAGGGGGTCCAGGATTGCTGGTGTTTACAAAGATGGGTGGGGTCAAATTCACCAGGGAAGATACATGTATGGGGTAGTCTCAGTGTGTGACAGGGCTGTAGTGTGAAAAGGCAAGGTTAGACACAAGCGGAGGACAAAATATCCAGGCCCAATACAAGGAGTTGCTTAGCAGGAAATACCTGCAAGCAAATTTATAAGCAATAAATAATTTGAAACCAGACACATGCAACACCTCTTGCATGACATGTTGGCACGTAACTTGTCTTCGTGCCAGGCAAATACTTTCAGAGCTTAGCAAAAGTTCAGTCTTGATATAGGAATAATTTAGGGCCCGTCTCGATTCATATCCAGGACGAGTTCTGGACAAGTTCTGGACATGTCCTGGGTATCTGGTAGAAGTTGCAGAACTCTGAACTTCCCCGCAATCTTCCCGCAATAAAGTTATCAGTATTGGTGAGTCAAGCAGTTGCTAATTAATATTTTCTGAAACACGTCCAGGACAAATGCAGAGCTTCTTCCAGACAAAGTGAATGATTCTACCCGCAGCTTATCCGGAATTCGTCACGGATATGAACTGAGACGTGCCCCTACTTACTTAGTTAGTTGCTGGTCTCTCCTGGCCACCAATTCTTGTTGGCTCCCCAGCACCGCTTGCTCCACCTGCTTGGTGTGGTTGACCAGCGCCCCTACGGCCGTCCTCTCGTCGGACACGCGCTCCTCGGCCCGCTTGAGCCTCGCTCCCAGCTGACCAATCAGATCGTTGCTGGACCGGATGCTGTCGGCGAGCTGCTGGCGGGATTGGCGCTCGCTCTGGATGGCTTCGTCTGAGCGCAGGTGCGACTGCTTCAACTCCCCTAGGTTAAGAATTTCATTTGTTATCACCATGAGTAAATGCCCTTTTGAATTCACACTATCCAAAATCTCTGTGTTCCACCCATGGTCAAACCTTCAGATTCGGACACCCCCTTTCACACAAGCAAAAACAAACAAATGGTTTCTACATGGATATGATATGCAACAGGTGTGTAATTCAGCCCTGGGGCCAATTTCACAGCGCTGCTAAGCGCAAAAATTTGTTTAACGCAAAAATTTGCTTAGCACAAAAAAAGTCTGGCTTATAAAAGCAGGTTACTAGCCAAAGCTCCATATGATGTGCTCGTGCTTGGTATTCGGCTGTTGTTTGCATACATGTAGCATGAAAATCACATGGAGTTTTGGCTGGTAACCTACTTTTATAAGCCAGACTTTTTTGTGCTAAGCAAATTTTTGTGCTGAGCAGCGCCGTGAAATTGGGCCCGGCCCTGGTCAGAACCAGGCTTAAGAGGCTGTACCGAGGTAGGAAAATGTATGACTGACCTGTGTATAAATCAGTGCAAGTGTGAACAGTTTGTGGACCAATGTTGATTGAACCCAGCTACACTGACGGTGGACCCTTGTTGATTTCAAAATGGGCAGATAAGTGTTAAAGGCCTTACACACTGTGTATTGTTTTACCAGAATTTTGCATCAGGGAGACATTGGGGGATGTAGATTTTAATCCTGGGTTTCACTCTTCACATACATAACGTCATAAGTAATGTATGGCCAGGAATTTGGAACCAAAATTGCCCACCTCAGACCAAGTGAAGTGCCAAGTGTTTGGGCAAATTTTGGAAATAACATGTCCTACAGGTACATGCTCGGCATGATATGGACACAAAAAAGAGTGCATACATGTACATGGTATGTACAGTGTTTTCCAAACAGGAGGAGTTTTAGGTGGGTTAGCCGCCCTGCCACTTTTTTAGGAGCAGGCCATCCTACTAAAATTCTATTCTAGCAAAATAGTTAGCACCTTATTGATTGTTACATCATCTAATTAACATTCCAGCTACATGCAACAACAAAGAAGAATTTAGACTTCATTGATACCTCTCATTACAGCGACTTTAGTTTTTTACTCGTTTCGTGTATACCACCCTGTTAAAATTGTGTTTACCATGTACAGATAGAACACTGTATGTGAGTAGTCATACATTTACACAAGAGTTCACACAACTGACTAACGTACAAAGTTACTTTTCCTATTACCTCTCAATCGGACGACTTCTTCCAGTAACGCCCGACATGACTGCTCAGACATGTTCAGTCTGTCCTCCACCTGTCGTAGTCTGTTCTCTGTGTAGTCCCCTGCATAGGCAGGGACCGCAGTGACGTTGGACAGCTGAGACCGGCGCCCGCCGAGGGGAATAATTTGGTTGTAGTCATTGGGCTGTGGAGTCTGGGCACCAGGCTGGTTGCTGGAAATGGCTGGAAGAGGGGCTGGCCCAAACTTGTTGAATAGCCTGTCAAAACATGATTTTTTTTTTATTTGATTCGATTTCTTTCCAAACATCACAAAATTTTAAATTCATGAACAATTAAATTAAACAGAATATACAACAAGCCTGATGAATGCTGGAGGCTGGCAGAAAGCCCAAGCTTAACATCTGGCCCAACCCCAGTGAAAAAAAAACAACAATTAAGGCCAAAAAAAAAATAGTCGGTCTCTGGTCAGACCGAAGTTCCGGAATTGATGCAGCGACGCTCTTTGCTCTTTGGTGCTCTTTGGTAAAAAAAAAATTGAGGAGGTGCGGCAACAGAGGGCGCTGTTGGAGCTACCGCGGAACATTTTGGAAGAAAAAAAAGAATGACGTGCATGGTTAAAATCGACGCGCGCGCTGACCGGAGACCGTTTTTTTTTTTTTTGGCCTTACACTTCATGTGCATACACCATGACTGAATACAACAAGTTTCAAATCCTTCACGGCTATTTTCAAAGTATTCTACTTGAGCTTTTTGTTCTGTTTTGTTTTGTTTGATTTTCCACCCATGTCAGGTCCCTTGGAGAAGGGATGCAGTATAGCCCAGGTTGGACGAAGTCTTCATTTCATTACAACTGACGTCCAGGATGAGAATTCTCTACATAAGACCACCCAAAATTTGGACCAGATTTTTGTTACGTTTTACCTCGTTACAGAAGCTTATTTCACGCCTTCATTTTCTATGTGTCCTTCTCTACTGATCCAGGGGTTCAGGAATTCCATATGTAATGCTGACCGACATTAATCAGGAAAATAAACTCTAAAGCAACGTTAAACTTGTACGTGTTTGTAGTCTCTTTTCATCAGTTTTATTCCCGAGTCGTACGTTATGTACATGTACGTGCGCACGAAAGCGCGCACGCACGCTAGCGCCCTCATTTGTTTAGTTTTGGTTGGAACCGTGACGTCACTCCAGCCAACCGATGTCACGAAAACGCTCAACCAATGACCAAAGCCGAAACATGTTTCTGGTAACTGGCGCGAAAACACGCTCGGTCATTGGATTAGCGACTGCGCCTTCAAGTAAGTGCGCGTGCGTATGAGGGTGGTTACTAAGCAAATCGCGCGTGCGCACTGCATATTCGCGCTGCATAGTCTGGCTCCCAGACCAGACGTGATATGAGCGCCGAGAATAATTGTCAGGTCTAGGGAACCAGACTACACGCTACACGGACGTACGTCATGTACGACTAGAATAGACTCGGCGGTGAGAAACTGATGAAAAGAGTCTACAAACACGTACAAGTTTAACGTTGCTTTAGAGTTTATTTTCCTGATTAAGGTCGGTCAGCATCACATATGGAATTCCTGAACCCAGCGGCCCAATAGATAAGGACACATAGAATACTACGACGTAAAAATTGGCTTCTCCAACAAGGTAAAAATATTGAAAATATTGGTCATAAATTTTATCGCCCGGTTTTGAGCACTTCATACCCTGGACTCCCTCTGTAACGTAGGGAGGAAAGGGAGTCCACCTGGGATAGGATGCAGTACAAAGTACCATGTGTTACAGCCCTATTAAAGCTGTAAACCAATCACGAGAGAGCCTTCTCCATTGCACGAAGTGTTACGTTATGAAAGGAGTCAATGTGTACAGACCTCGTTATTAATTATTGAAATCAATAGCAAGGCCGTAGGCACCGACGCTGCTGAACCAAAGCTAATCTCACAGCATCCGTTGCCATGTTACCAGGGACAAGGTACGCAATAAATTTGATAGAATCTCGTACCAATTATTAATTTCATCCACAGCCCGAATTTTGATGTACATTGTACATACCGTATAAAACCTCTTAATCTTGTCTGAAATTTTCTAAATAGCTTACAGGACCATTATCACTAATACACCAGGTTTAGGAGGACTTTGTGTGAATGACGAAGGTAGACCTGTCACAATTACTATGGGGCGTTCTCCCTTTCATTCATGTTGCCATTGGTTCCAGAGAGTTAACCTACTCACAGTGCCCTCTAGATATGTATATGTGTCTCTGACTCACTGTCCAACTGTCTGTGTCACTTGTGAAAATTTAAAACTGGTCTTTTGAAAATACTCAGAACTCTCACAGGTGTTTAAGCTGCACAGAAAAATGATGATCAACACGTCATCTTTCATTTTCTTTTCATTTTTTGGTGGGTTGACCATTGACTTTTCGAGAAATTCTCACCCAAAGAAGATGACCCCTATTTTTTCCCAAAGCAGAAAAGTAACCATCTTGAAAAACGATCCCACCACAACATGGCAAAATAGCACCACTTTCAAGCCCAATTGCATCCAAAAATTCTTTTAAAAATACTCAGAACTCTCACAGGTATTTAAGCTGCACAGAAAAATGATGATCAACACGTCATCTTTCATTTTCTTTTCATTTTTGGGTGGTTTGACCATTGACCTTTCGAGACATTCTAATCCAAAGACGACGACCGCTATTTTCTCCCAAAGCGAAAAAGTAACAAAAAAAATGATCCCTACACAACATGGCAAAATTGTGCCACTTTCGAGCCCAACTGCATCCACAATGCTCAGAATTGGAAGCCTCAAGTCCGGGACAGAGGTTCATTGCCATATCTCTTCAATTCCTCAGTTGTATAGCTCTCGGAGCTCTCTTATTTTACATTGAGGGTAGGGTCTATAACTTTTATTTATGAGCTTTGAGGATGGGTTTAGGCCTATTCAAAGGTGTGCACCCCTAAACTCCACCACCATGGCATTTACATAGATAATAGGATTACATGCATTCATTTAGGTATAGTCAGCAAGCCAAAATGTAGGCTACATAAAGTCAACTCAGGGAAAGCTCCCAGATGTTAACCAACAGGAGATAATCTCCCGGAGCTTAGCCTTCTGACCAGATGCTTATTTCACAGTGCTTCTTAGCATAGAGATGCGCTAAGCACATAAAATAAGCAAGGCATTCTGGCAAAATGAGACAGAACTGCGCCGGGGTCAAAATGAGGGTTTGCAGGTATTAGGAAAGAGAACAGAATTCTCCTTTCAATAACATTTGTTGCACTTCAGTCGGACATTCTGTCAACAAGTTATGGTAGTTTAAAGCTCGCATTTACCGACATTTAAAAACAAGTAAAATACTGAGAAAAGGCCTTTAAAGTGTCGAGTTTTGTATTCGTAAATTTGAATGATGCCAATTGTTTTCCTAAAACAAAACCTTTCATTCAACAATTGTTATACTATTTCTTTTCACTTTGTGTAGTAGACTTATATCAAAGATTACAAATATCAATAAATCTGAAAAATCAACAACAAAAATCACCCTCATTTGGTTTTTTGTATTTTTCTCCACTACAGCCTGTGCCCAGTTCTGTCTCATTTTGCCATTGGTTTAATACCGGTACTGCTATGCAAATCATAAATTTGTTAAGCAATATTTCTCTGCTAAACAGCAGGCATGCAACTTGGAAGTAACACGCACAAAAATAAGGAAATCTTTAAAAGACTTTGTACAGTGTTTTTCTTTAATGGCATAAGTGTGAAGTGAAAAACGAGGAAATCAGCTGATCCGAGGAAAAGTTGCATGCCTGCAAACAACTGCATAAAAATGCCCCTGAGGAAGGGAAGGATTAAACTATTCTATATTGAAAGACAGCTTACCCCGCATCTCCATCAATAAAGCTTTGCCACATCTTGGCTGACGCTATACGGCTACATGTACAGTGTGTTAATCAGTCACACGCACGGTCCACGGAGCAAACTCACCACTGAATACACTGTCAAAATATAAAGCATGTACAAGCTACAGTTTTGGTTTTCATCAAAAACATGTCAGTCACAAGGCCCCCCCCCAAAAAAAATTCACTAGGTTATCTTTCGATTGAAGCAGGATTTGAACCCACGACCATGTCAACACCAGAGTGCTTTTCCAACTGAGCTCTTCAACTTACTGTACATATGCTGATGTCTCTTGATTTCAAAATTCGGTTTTGCCTTTCATCTACATTTTTTTCTATAAATACTGCGTACACCGTGCCCTCTGGAGACATGCACACAATAGGGAACAAAAGATTGTATACGTCTCCACAGGGCAATGAATACGTCTCCACAAGGTTTTCACAAAATAGATATGGATTTTACTTAAAAACTAGGAATTTCCACGGCAAGTTGATCTGTCGCAAACATGGCAAATGGTAGGGTTTTAGAAAAAGGGATATTAAATCCGAATTTCAGCCAAGGAAATTAATTCTGGTTAAAATAAGAGCATTTTGAAACTGTACTTTCAAACTCGAAAACTTTAGTACACGAGAACAAAGAAATGTCTCCACAAGCATACAAATTATGTAAAATATATACAGTTGTGGTCTCTAAAATTTGTCTTGTCTCTGTTCACAGACACGCATCAGAAGCTGGATAGCTCATTTTGGTATGGTAGAACACCTGGATTTGGTTTCCGATGTTGCAGGTTCCAATCCCACTACACTTTCTTGAACTGATTTTCAGTCTTCCAAGTAACATGGCCGGTTCCTAGTCATATTCAGCAGAAAAATAAACGTGAAAAGTGACTTTTCAGCAAGTACAGTTTATGTATTCCTGCCGCAAATTAAAAAAATGTCAAGTACATTTCTACTCAAAAAAGTTGTAACTTTCATGTCAAATTTCATTTGCCCTTACATTTAGCATGAATTACAATTAGCCTTTATGATCAGTTATTTCCTAGTATGAGCGCACAAGTTCACATTCATGTACCAAAAATATGCCCGCCCCTACATGTAAATGTAAATTGACTTAACATCAGACAACACAGAAAAATGTTCCAACCAGAATAATTTTATATTACATTTTCCCTTCACCGACTTATCGTTTTAAAAAATAAACCCTGCACACTCACTACCAGTGCGTCATTATTTCAAAGTCCTAAATTCACAACACAACGCCCCAGGTGCAATCTGCGCGATATCGCACAGTACGCGCGACGCGCGCGCCAATCTCCATTAAAGGAGTTGTTTACATCTTATTCCCGAGCTGGACACACCATTATTTAGCTAAAGGGGTGTTTCAAAAAATGAAGTGAACCTGTTGAACAAAATCGTGTTTTATTTGACAGAAAAGTTTGATTTTTTTTTGACCGAAAAGGTATTTATGAATGGGAATAAATATGTGCTTGGTCGGTATTAATCACTCTGTTTAAGACCGCTTGGAGTCTGGGTCAGTGTTTCCCCTGCCCATTGAAACATGAGGTGGCCCACCTCGCTACTTTTAGTGACCACCTCGCTCAATTTTTGCCAATATCACCACCTCGCTGTGAAGATTTACAATAAAGGAAATATCAATTGAAAAAAGATCATTTTGAGTAATATATGAGCGTTTTCCTTTACCTCCAGTATCAAGAACTCACAGTTTCGATGTGTTTTTGGAATCATCGCGCATTTCTGTGAGTGTGCTGCATTCTTTTCAGTTTGCAGACTGCATAAATTTCGTTTCAATCATCTTGTTACCACCTCGCCCAGTTCATTAGCCAGGGGAAACACTGGTCTGGGTGCTGATAATTACCCAAGCGGTCTTAAACAGAGGGATTAAAACCTCCAAAGCACACATTTATTCCCCTATTACAAGATAATTTATGGTGGTACTGGTTTGCTACACACAGGCAGGATTCAGAATGCCGACCGAACCGAGCTCAAGAAAATACATAATTGCAATCAATATCTGGCAATATCCTTTGAGGCGGCATATTTTTCCTGATATTACCTTATTCCTGCATCATGTCCACGGCCTAGCCAATATAACGGCCATGTCACGAGTCCTCAACTGAGTTCAGCACAATGACAATAAGCTGGTTTTATTGATTTTCTTGTTGCACATTGTGTTCCGTACATGTGTACACAACTTGCATCGAGGGGGGGTTTTGGTATACTGGCCGTGTCTGGGCGCAAGAGAAATTGTTGAACAGCACAGGTGGGTAGCCATGGAAACTTGGCCACCATAGCGATGCGATGAGTGTTTCTTAAAAAGGTCGGGTTAATTTAATAAAACATGCAAAACGTGGGTGGGAATTAGCTTGCTCACGAAAGTATCATAATTTCAGTACGTGGATATTTTTTTTTACTAAATTCTGGTTTTTGGTGATCTTCAAAATTTTACATCTTTTTTTAAAGGGGGGGGGGGCAGCTGCTTTGTAAAAATTTAAAAAAAAAACAACCTTGTAAAACAACTGCAGCTTGCAATTTTGTAATTTTTCACAGAGCCGCCTCCACCCCCCCCCCCCCCCCAAATGGATTGAAGAAAACCAAAAACCAACATTTAGTTTTTAGGGGTCAGTATTTTATGGCAAATATTTTATTTTACACTGACCGATTTAAGGTTTTGTGTTCATAGATGCTGGAAAAACCAAGAAGAAAATGCTGTTCTTGTACGTCAGATGAAACAGAGCAATTTATAGACATCTGGGAATTGTTAGGTCAGGGAACCAGACGAACCTGGCTTGCACCTGTTCACGGATGTGTAACGGCAACCTCGTTCCCCATGGGTACGATCCTGCTGCGCCATGTTGTTTCTTATCATGCCTTGCGCGATCTTAACCCCTGGAATTGTGTAATTTAAATGTGTCAAAATAATTTAAATGTGTCAAAATTAGGCTGCAGTTTATCCGTTTTACGTGCCGACGCCATCTTTAAAATGTTAAAAGTTGTGATTTTGAAGAATCAATCCTTTCAAACAAAATGTTTGGACGTTGCGTTATTTAGCAAAGATTTGTATTAAATGTACGTACCCCTTTCGTCCCTTTACAACCGAAGATACAGGGTTTTTTTTAGCGAAAAACGAGGCTGCCATGACCCATATTGTACAGGCATCGCGACTTTTGAATAACACATTTTTTTTATACGTTACGTTACGTGCAAAGCACGCAAGCGCATTATGGGCGCACCCGGCGTGCAATCTTCGAAACGCACGTGCAGAACGCTGTGAATAGCAAATCAGCGTCATTTACGTCGTCATCACGGCCAGGGGTTAGTATAAGGAACGCGCACCCGCCCATGGAGTCGAGGCTGGTGTAACGGATTGCAAACAAAATATGGACTACCAGTAACTAAATTTGGTAAATTTGGGGCAATATTTGAAAAAAGGGTCAGTTTTTTTTCAGCCATGCTTGAGACTATTACTCATTAACAGACTTACAGTCAAGTAAGGTATTTCACAATAATTTTGGTAGTTTTGTTTTTTTGATATGTAAAAATGTTGTATATTGCCTTTAAAGGGTAACATATTTGCAAACATCAAAAAACTAAATGATCAAATTATCACGAAATATCTTACTGGATTGTTAGGGAATGACATTCTAAAACACCCTGTAAAATCGTGGCTCCTGGTGTGCTGACTTTTTCAAGAAAATTGGTATTTTTCCAACGCTGGTCGGCCGACCAGCGTTGGAGAAAACTGGCTTTTTTTCCAAAAACTGCTCTTAATTTTTCATTTAAGTGGTATTCCGCATTTTCTTTGCAATTGATTACACACCTGTGAAGTGGTACAAGCCTGCGGGACTGATGCTCAGACTACAAGAACATGATGTTTTTCTAGTTTTTTTCTAGCATCTTCAAGCCCAAAACGTGAAACAAGTCAGTTTAACAATATTTACTATTGTAACATTCTAATCCCTCAAATCCATTTACTACTGAAAATTGCAGCAAGAGCAAATGTTGTACATTCCCTTTAACTTCATAGATGATTGATGAAAATGGTTACACTACCGATAGAGTAAAATTCAGAGTGAAATTACCGACGGCTTGGTGGCAATAAAACCTCTCTCCAGTGATGTTCATCATGTATTTATGACCAAACTGGTAATGGCGGTGGTAAATTAAACATAGAAAATTAAAGAGACTCTGCATCCTGGAACAGCCCAATTGGGCAACAAAACGCGCTTTGAACGAAATTATGTTAATTGGAAAGAACACTTAAAAATAGGATATAAACATCCACACAACTATCCTTTAGAAACTGGGCGTTTTTGTGTTATTCCTGTATTATGCGAGCGAGAATGACTTTCGGGGTCCACTTTTGCGACCCCAAAAAGTCGAGCTGTTTGGGTAATAGTTTTGATTTCATCCGTGAAGTGTTCGCCTTTGTGGACATGTAAGAAACCACGTATCGTGCATTGGTGATTGGTCACCGCTGTTCGCTAGAACAGAGCTGAATAGACACACACAACGTTTACGTGTATATCGTACTGAAAGCGACACGAAAAACGTTGTACTTCGTTGTGTCCGATGTAAACAACCATTTTTTCCCCGTCTTTTCTAGGGAACGGTAAGACATTAGGTTGGTTTCCTTTCAATCAGATGTTGAAATAGGAAAAGTAAGCAATCCAAAACATATGAAATTTTTGGGGATTTCAGGACCTAGTGCCCCTTTAAGATTATAAGTTGGTAATAGAAAGGCAAACGCTTGCAGAACCGGCTCAATTCCCTACCCCTGAAAAATCTCGCAAACAATTTGCTTGCGGACTTGCGGATGGCTGAATAAAAACATCAGTCCATGATATAAGGCCAAATAAAACCAAACAAACATGTTTAGCGTCCCCGCCCGCTTCCTTTATGGAGGCCGCCTCCTTTTTTTTTTAACCGAAAAAAATGAAAAATGTTTAACAGTATTACAGTGACATCATATTGGCCTCTTTGTCTGTTGCCTCTAGCCCATATAGTCCTTAAGCTGGTATGTCACTTCCTGAGTCCAAGTGCTGGCAATTTAAAAAAAGGTGGCGGCCATCTTGAAAAATAGCCCGGTCGGGCGGCCATTTTAGAGGGGAAAAAAGGGAAAGATTTCCATAGTTCACTCAACACCCTGTGTACAAACCCTATGAGATTGGACTGAAAAATTCTAAGTGTTTTCTAAGAAAATGCTTGTATTTTCTCACTGCTCAAATTGACTTTGATGACATGAAATTGCTATCTGGGGGCTTGTTAGTCAATACAGAGGAAAATTAGTGAATTTCGTATATGGAAATCTTTCCAAAAAAAGAAAGAAAAAGGGCCTCCTCCTTCCTTTTATTCAAAAAGGCAAGATGCTAAACATGTTTTGTTTTTACTTGGCCTAAAACTTAAAGAGGCTAAGTGAGTCAAACGACTGTACTGAAGGGTTGTTGGACTGGTTGTTTCAGGTGCCAGTCTTCTTCCTTGTATCGCAGTGGCTATCAGCCATAACGCGATTTCCAAATGCTATCAGTGCAGAAATGTCTGGTTCCCTAACGTACATACTATTATAAATACTGAATGTCAGGATTTTTGGCAGCTGAAACCAGACTATATAGTAGGCCTACTGTACTGACAGAATGGTTCTCGGACTTTATTTCCCTTTTTAAAAAAAAAAACTGATTTCAAAGAAGAAAATGAACTGTACCTAAATAAAAAGAACGATTCAATTAAAACTAAAACATCTAGGCCTAAGTAATGCCAACTATTGAAGAAGAACAAATTGGCGGGGCCAGGGCTGCCGTAACGATAGCCACTACGTTCTTGGGAAAAATTCCCAATAGGTCTATCTGGCCATCACTGTATGACTATAATGAGACTGGTCTGAAAGTTTTTTCAGTATGATACTATAGGCCTACTTCAATATTTTTCCTCCAAAATTTGACTTTTTAGGCCATATTATCACTTTCTAATGGCTGATTTTTTTTAAAGAGGTTGTGAAATGCTCGAAGACATTTCCGTCATTTTTCGGGTATATGTAGTCTAAGGTGTGATGAAATAAAAACGACTATTGTTTCTGTCATGAAATGAGTACAAAAGGTACTTTTGAGAGCTGTTTTTCAGGTCCAGTTTAAAAGTGTGTAAAAGTCGTCGTTGCGGGCAGCAAACAAAACACAGTAAATCATGACGTAATAAACAGGACTCGTGTATGCTACTGTGCATCGGGAGTCCTGCTTATTACGTCATGATTTACTGTGTTTTGTTTGCTGCCCGCAACGACGACTTTTACACAGTTGCACGTTCGGGTCGAAACTGGACCTGAAAAACAGCTCTCAAAAGTACCTTTTGTACTCATTTCATGACAGAAACAATAGTCGTTTTTATTTCATCACACCTTAGGCTACATATACCCGAAAAATGACGGAAATGTCTTCGAGCATTCCACAACCTCTTTAATGATCGATTTTCACTCACGCCCCGAATTTCATTTTTTTGATATTTTAAATTTTTTTTAAATTGTTTTCTGAAAGTTTTTTTTTTCTTAAAAAGGGCATTTTTTACAAGTCCGAGTAACTAGAACTTTACGGATCGCTTTTTTAACATTCTACTATCGCCCGACCATGTCCAAATGTTAAAAAAGCAATCCGTAGAGTCCTAGTTACTTGGACTAATTTTTTACAGGGGGATGGGGAGGGGAAGCGCATAATTTTTTTTATGCAAAGAATACATCGTCCAACCTGGTATTAAATCAAAACATGGTAAACCGAACGAAAATAACCACAATGATACTTTGTAGTCTTTGATAGAGTTTTGAAAGTATTGATCATGTCGATAATAAAAAATTAGCCTACCCATCATCTGATCATCCCTGAGCTGATGAGGCTGGGCGATCATGCGTCCATGCACACTGAAATTTTCTGATGTGAACTGTGAGTGTGATGCCTTTGACTTTGAAGTTCGAGACCATGCACAACTATCGTTCAAAACTATAGAAATAGTATGAGCCGATATTGCTGATAAGTAATATTGCTAAAGATTGAAAAAAGAACAGTGAGACCAGTCACTCACTTAGAATACAGCACGGTCTGTCACTCAGCAACACACGTTTTGCAGGCAAGCAAGCTAACGTTAGGCGCCTGAAATTTACGCTATAATTTATAAACTCACCGGTCAACTCGCAATTTGTTTTCCGTTCATTCACGGCGTATACCAACCTCGTCCCCGAGGACGGGCATACTTATTGAACTCGTTGGAGCATACTGCTCGACAACTTGGCAAGGAGGTTGACAGCGTACCCCGTATCGTGGGAACGAAAGGGCTATTTTTGATTGGCTGATCTAATCACATGTCTTTTTGTTTCTTAATGATGAACTATTGGAGGCGCCCTGCTTTGCACATTCCTCATGATGTATGCGATTCCACTACCTCGAATTCTCTGGCAAGAGCATTTGGGGGGCCATGAACTTGAATTGAGGGTTTGTGAAAAAAAAAAAAAGATGGATGGAAGCGGTGAACAGGACTGCAAGTGTGGCAGTGCCAAGTATTACTTGTGTATTTTTATAGTGTATTAAATAGGAGTAGCTCCCCTTAGAAACAGAAAATCATTTTAGTTTTACTTAAGATTCCCCCCTCCTTTCTTGGTAGTGTGTCCCCCTGGTTGTTTACTTTAGCCCACATGTTCCCCCTATAAAAGCTGCCACATGGTCAAGCCACACTTTAATCAACCAGCAGACCCCAACAGAGACAACTTCATAGTATTTATATATCCTCCTAACTGGAGAGCGGCCTGTCCTGTTTGAGCTCTGTCTGCTCGAGTCATTTGGTGAGTTTTCTTTTGTATATTGTCTACTTTTCATTTATCATGTATAATTATTATTAGAAATATAGTGCAGTTTTCTTTTGAAAGTTTGTTAGCTTTGAATTGACTCTGGTCAGTTTAGATCTTTGAGAAAGCTCCAGTTTGAAGTTTTCTTTTACAACTTTTGGATTTACTTTTGTTTCCATTTATTATTTTACTTAAGACACTAGTGGTTTTTTACTTCTTTTCATGATGATTGATTTGTTCCTACTGTATATAATAAGGAAGCTTTAGTCTTTTCAATGAAACCGGTCTCTTTTGAGTTCTTTTGAGAAAAGTTTCTTAGTTCTGTTTATTTTCATTAACCTTGGTTTACTTAAGGATAGATTTTTTGGCCTTGTTTTATTACTAAGAAAGGTTGAAAGTTCATTTGCATTCTAGATTTTCATGTTTTCTTGTACATTTTCTTAGAATTAGATTTAGAGATTTTCTTAAATTCGTCACCATGTGCTTTAGCTTTTCATTGCAATTTCTTTGTTCTCATTTAACTCACATGGCCTGTGTATAGGATGGTGCCACTGGACTTGTTTTATTACTTGCTAATCCTTCACTTTGGGGATTAGTGTCTCCCACTTCCTTTGGATCATATTACAGCTTGTTTATTGCTTATTGAATATTCATTAGATCATTTCCTTATATGTTTTCTCTTTTTGTATTTTCTTGTTTACAGACTTTATTCCTGCTTGAATGTTCTTTGAAAGATCCACTATTCACACTGTGTTGGTTTTAGATTTTAGGGTTTAAGTCTCAATTTTTTTTTTTTTTGGTTTTAGTCTTTGGTTTTTAGGTTTTATTCTTTGCTTTTAGTTTCTGGTTTTTGGTTATATAAGGTTCTTGTGAATAAATTCTTTTTTGGTCTTTTTTTTGTTTGAAATCTAGAATTCGTCTCTGGTCTCTATTAATTCAATTTCCTCACGACTCTTCCCTTCAAAGATCCTGAGTTTAGTTTAGTTTTGTTAGTTAATCCCCATAGAGTCTTAGTTTGTGCGAGTTCCCCCAAGTGTGTCATTTTTCACGGTTACACAAGCTTGTATTTCTGTGAAACCTGGATGCAATTGGACCCTAAACTGAATTGCTATAAGCCAACTAAAATTTCCTTTCAAAAGAGGGCGTGCTTCAGAAAAAGCGGTCACCACTGCACAAGAAAAAAACTATTTAATTTAACTTAAATTCTACTGAAAACCTGCCGAACTACTGAACAAAACATCGCACTCGTTGTGTGGACGATAACCCAAGAAATACCTGGGTTTTTACTGAGTGTTGACAACAATTCTTTAGGTGGGGACCATTATTATTTTGTGTAGCGCGCCCTCTTTTGAAAGACAATACGACACGAATTAAAGTCAACTTATAAAATGTATATGGAAACAAAACAGCACACTCGTTTTTCGGACGATTACTCAAGCAAATAGTTGTTACATTATATCGAAATGTCTTATATTAATTTCATGTGACATGTAACACAATTCTGTTGCGTAACGGGAGAAATTGTCAAATAATAAAACATAATGTAACTAAACCAATGTAGTGGGTTAAACGCGAAAAAAAAAAAGAAACAAGGCGAATTTAAGTCAACTTTCATGACTCGAAAACATCAAACTCTCGTTTTCAGACGATCAAATACTAACTATTAATCGAAATTTTAGGTACTAATTAAGTGTGATGTGTTGCACAATTCTGTTGAAAATCCGTAGAAATCGTCAAATTTAAAAAAAAAATACTAAATGCGAAAAACGCATATGCGCATATGCCATTCGCCGTTCCGGTGTGGACGGTAATTCTGTCCCCCGTTAAAAGTGTCCGGCGGGACATTACCTAGGTAAAAGTGTCCTCCCCGGCCCGTTAATTCTGTCCCCCTTCAGGTAATTCTGTCCCCTCCAGGTTTTTTTGTCCCCCTAGTTTTGCAACGCAGAAGGAGTTCTCTATATTGTTTTCATGAATTCACTCTACAAGGTATACATTTTTTACTCTTTAGTCTGCCCTTCATGAAGATGAAAAAAAACCAACTCTTTGGTCTCTTTCTTAGATGTGAAATGTGAACACAATGTTTCGATCGATTCGGAGTACGGTGTAGCCCTATTCTACGGTGGACGCCTCAATAATATAACGCCTACTTGGATTGGTCTGCGTTCCCATCGTAGCGCGTAACGAAATATCCTATTACAGTAGTTGAATTTCTTTTGTGTAGCGGGCTCCACATTATGTACACATTATGCGATAAGCGCTGCCACAATTCTTGCAGCATGTACTTGCGGCGATGCGCGCTCACGAACACGACTCGTAATATCATCGCATGGGTGATACTTGCACGGGGACACATTTACCAGGGGGACACTTTCAACGTTGGGCAGGGGGACATATTTACCAGGGAGGGGGACAGATCTACCTAGGTAAATGTGTCCCCCGGACAGATTAACCGGGTCACAAACCGGTAATTTGTCCGGGGAGACACATTTACCAGCTTGATTAATTGACGTTTTTTCATGAAATGAAATCTGATGATGCCAAACATCAGTTGTTGGCCCGAAATCGGGTTTGGTGGTTGAGATCGAGACCACTATTATAGAGGGCGCGCCACATAAATAGTGGTCTCAACAACGCATCAATACGGATGCTGCACAAGTAAAGAAAAAGAACAACCTCGTTTCCGATGAACTACTCAAGAAATTCAAAATGGATTAAATTGAAATTTCGTGCAATTAGTTTTCACGATGTGTAGCATGAGTAGTTTGAATGGCATGAGAAACCGTGAAGCTATAAATACAATATGATCGTAACAATCTAGTGTTTTAAACGTTAAAAATCCATGTTAACTTCCATTAGGATTGTATTTGTTGCAAATAAAATCCTGTATTGTTACGGTCGTAATAGCTTAATTAATTGACGTTTTTTTCATGAAATGAAATCTTATGATGCCAAACATCATGACAAATGAGTGTACGAATATTCATTTTAATGTAACGTGTATTTCTTGAGTTGTTGGCCCGAAATCGGGTTTGGTGGTGGAGATTGAGACCACTATAATAGAGGGCGCGCCACATAAATAGTGGTCTCAACAACGCATCAATACGGATGCTGCACAAGTGAAGAAAAAGAACAACCTCGTTTCTGATGAACTACTCAAGAAATACAAAATGGATTCAATTGAAATTTCGTGCAATTAGTTTTCACGATGTGTAGCATAAGTAGTTTGAATGGCGTGAGAAACCGTGAAGCTATAAATACAATATGATCGTAACAATCTAGTGTTTTAAACGTTAAAAATCCATGTTAACTTCCATTAGGATTGTATTTGTTGCAAATAAAATCCTGTATTGTTACGGTCGTAATAGCTTAATTAATTGACGTTTTTTTCATGAAATGAAATCTTATGATGCCAAACATCATGACAAATGAGTGTACGAATATTCATTTTAATGTAACGTGTATTTCTTGAGTTGTTGGCCCGAAATCGGGTTTGGTGGTGGAGATTGAGACCACTATAATAGAGGGCGCGCCACATAAATAGTGGTCTCAACAACGCATCAATACGGATGCTGCACAAGTGAAGAAAAAGAACAACCTCGTTTCTGATGAACTACTCAAGAAATACAAAATGGATTCAATTGAAATTTCGTGCAATTAGTTTTCACGATGTGTAGCATAAGTAGTTTGAATGGCGTGAGAAACCGTGAAGCTATAAATACAATATGATCGTAACAATCTAGTGTTTTAAACGTTAAAAATCCATGTTGACTTACATTAGGATTGTATTTGTGGCAATTAAAATCCTGTATTGTTACGGTCATAATAGCTTGATAATTTGACTTTTTATTATGAAATGAAATCTTTTGATGTCAAACGTCGTGACAAATGAGTGTACGAAAATTCATTTGAATATAACGTGTATTCAGTGGCGTAGCCAGGAATTTTTTAGTGGGGGGGGGGGGGGCGCTTGGGGGCCTGGAACGTTTTATGGGTGGGGGGTTGGGGCGTCATGTAGATCAATGATAATTTTTTTAGAAACTAGATTCTAGAACCGTGCCTGGATGGCCTATGTGGCGCTGTTAATTGCAGAGATAATGAGTTTTCTTGTATCCGGTATCCATCATCCTAACTTTTATCATGCACTTACTCTTGGCCACATTTTAAGGAATTTTTTTCATATACATTTCATAAGCTACGATCTTTTATTACTCGAATGGGACTCATTATTAACAGTTTCACTCGTACCGTACCCACCGCCCTGTTTGCAGGGTCAGGGCGGCGGGTACGAGTACGATACGAGTGAAATTAACAGTTTGCTTCAATATGGGATCAGCCAATGGGATCAACTAGCCCTGCGCTAGCTGGCGACACATTTATTAAATCACTCTATGATTAAATTAAGTAGCCTAGGGCCGGCCCTAGGCCTTCTGACATCAAGACAGAAACACAAAGGGAAAACATATTTTGTCCTAATTAAAACTTAGATGACCTTACTCAGTAGGTATGCAAGGAAGTGTTTCGCTCAGGAAAATGGAAATAATAAAATCAAAATTAAAACTTCATAAAATTTTAGCGATCGAATAAGGGTGCAGACCAGTAAATCGGTCCGAAATTGCCTGCGCCGGCCAAATCACGATTTGCATGCCCTCAAAATCTTCGGTATTTGAGCATGCTGTGGGCCATGAACTTGAGGGATTGTAAAAAAATATGGGTAGAAGCCGTGCACAGGACTGGGAGCTTGCAGTTCTGTGTAATTTTGATGTAATTTAGACCCTAAAAGCGCTCTATTTTGCAATGGAGTGTAGGCATCGTTTTTCAAAATGGCGATGGGCTTCAGGACTATTTTCAGGGGTGATCATCTTCAGATGGAAATTTCTCCTAAAAGTCATCAGTTGACCCCCCAAAAATTGAAAAGAAAATGAAAGATGATGAAATAAGCTTTAATTTGATGTGTGTCTCGAACACCTTGGAGAGTTGTGAGTATTTTTGCCGAATTTTTGAAGTGGGAGCATTTACCATTGGGGTCTATGGAAGTTTATTTACTGGTCTGCTACCATAAACACATGGTACTCCGAGTGATTATGACATCAACAGAGGGCGCTGTTGTAATGGCCATTTCTGATCTTGTGATTGTGAATATTTTTGACTGCTGCTTGTGTTACACACGTAATTCTTTTTAAACTGAATAACTGCACAAATGCAACTTTTTTCGAGAGGAATTTTCGTTGTGTTTGTTATAGCGGTTCCTGTGGTCATCTTTTTTAGCCGCGTTGATAAATCAGGTAATTTCTTGGTCCTATAATTCTTTTTAAATGATGATTATGAGTGACACTTGACCATTATTATGACTAGACTGTCACTGTTTGCCATGAATGATGTAGAACTTTGTCAAATTTGATTTTCACATTAGGCTTAGGCCTAGTTTGTAGTTTATTTTTGCTTTTAGAAGCATACTCACCCTATTCAGAACGCAGTGGCTATTGTTACGGCAGCCGTAACGCATTTCCCATTTTCTATCGTTACGGTAGACTGCAACCTGGCAACTTTTATAAAAAACATGACAAGAAAATATAAAATTAGAAGGAAAAAAGTGAATTTGAACTTTATGAAATTCGGACTTTATTTCCCTTTTAAAAAAAATCCTCCAAAGCCTCAAGGTTAGAAAAGGAAAAAAATTCGAGTGCTAAACTGAGATTCGAACCCGCAACCTCGCGGTGCAAAATCCTACTCTCTATCGGCTGAGCTGGCGCACTGCTCGATAAAACGTGTGGAAACAAATAATTATATACCTGCGTGCGTATCAAAAAAATATCGTAGAGGGCGCTAAACAACGAGTGCCGTAACGATAGCCACTTCGTATTCAGAAAGTGCTGCCTTTTTAGTTTTTCAGATGTCTATATTTCGTGAAATGTCCAGATTCGTTTGCACACGTTTGCGTATCAAAATTTCAACATGAAACGGCCAGAAAATGAGAGTTGGGGGTGACCTAAACTGGTTCCTGGTCCATCCACTGCGTATTTCGAATGTATCCAAAGTTTTTGGAGGCAGGGATTAGTCTCGGAGACCAGCGCAAGTTGAATTCGAACGTACTCGCGCGCCGACGACGCCTGACGCTCACGCGAAGACGGGGTGGCTTATAGCTTTTGCAAATTCAGAAAGTCGTGCGTACTTCGCGTGTGAAGCAGTACAGTACAGTACGGGCACGCTGGGTGTCCCATCCACGGAGCTCTCAAAAGAGGTAAAATGCGCCCTCTTTTGTTGGCGCACGGAGCCCATAGATACAAGTAGTGTCCTGTTGAGACCACCATAGCATTACTCATTGAATTAGGCTTATTAATTGTCATGCTCATGACTGTTCCGCAGCATCTAAACCAGTCCAGCACCCTGTTTTGAGTCGAGAGCAAGGAGCATCAGCAAGGATGACCGAGCCAGATGCAGAGGTTAACCCCTTCACCTGGTTGGACTATGTCATCTTTTCGGCCATGCTGGCAGTCTCAGCACTGACTGGATTGTACCATGCGTGTGCAGGGGAGGGGCAAAAATCCACAGCAAAGTAAGTATATATACATCTTCTCTTTGCACCATTTTTGTTGTTGTCGAGTCCATTACAAGTTCAGTCTCAAATTACTCAAAAGTGCAGTCACAGGTCCAGTCACACATAACAGGGAATGAACTATAACAGAGTAATGCCTTTGAAACAGTTCATTTGAATAGCTTTGACTTGGATCTGGTTGACTTGTGGATGACTTGTGATGGACTTGTGGATGACTTGTGGATGACTTGTGGATGACTTGTGGATGACTGGTGATTGACTTGTGGATGACTTGTGGATGACTTGTGGATGAATTGTGATTGACTTGTGATTGACTCGTGTTGACTCGTGGATTACTTGTGATTGACTCGTGGATGACTTGTGATTGACTCGTGGATGACTTGTGATTGACTTGTGATAGTCCTGTGGATGACTTGTGATTGACTCGTGGATGACTTGTGATTGACTCGTGGATGACTTGTGGATGACTTGTGGATTACTTGTGATTGACTTGTGATTGACTTGTGATTGACTCGTGGATGACTTGTGATTGACTCGTGGATGACTTGTGATTGACTCATGGATGACTTGTGATGGACTTGTGATGGACTTGTGACTGACTTGTGATTGACTTGTGATTGACTTGTGGATGACTTGTGATTGACTTGTGATTGACTTGTGGATAACTTGCTTGTATGATGTTCAAAAGGCAGTTTTGTATAATTTCTAGCTTGGGGGCCATCACATGAAGTTTTCTGGAGCCCACATTCCATGCATTACATCTACAATATGTATATAGACCGCTTGCAGATGCGTTCGATAATCGACGCGCGAAGGCGCGCGACGCCATGTTGTGGGACAGGCGTATATCTATCCATGCACATTTTGTCCCATAACATGGCGTCGTGCACCTTCGCGCGTCAATTATCGATCGCGTCTGCAAGCGGTCTATATGCATTTTCTCTGCCCGATAAATAACTGAAATTTTTTCCCCAGGTTTTTGATGGCGGACCGCAGCATGATGAGTATCCCCGTTGCTATTTCCGTCATCGCCTCGTACCTGTCGGCGATCACCATCCTGGGCGTGCCTTCGGAGGTCTTTGTCTACGGCATCCAATACTGGATGGTCGTCTGGAGCTTCTTCATCGCCATTCCGGTCACCGCGTTAGTCTTCATACCAGTCTTTCACGGGCTTGGATTGACGAGTGCATACGATGTGAGTTAAAGCTATAGTCCATCATTTGCAGCCATCCGAAAAGTAACTGGCGTAATTATTGTTGAAAAACATACTTGGTTGAAAGATAGTAAGGGAACTAAACTCCCTGTGAAATTATTCTTTCTGGGAAGCTGTCATTTTGAAGTAATCAATGAAAGAAGGCATTTCCAACAGTGATTCTTAAGAAGCACTGTAGGAAAATTTAAATTAGTAGTTTGTTTTGTTATTCAGCGCAGCGCGCACAAGTATTGGAACAACGCACACGCGCGTGCTGTTGTTATAATTCGTCGGATCAGTGCGCGACGTCGCGTATAGCTGCAATTCAAAACATGATTCAGTAACTTTTGATTTGAAATTGAGATCTTAGAATGCTGTTTTTCTCGGAATGTACAGCTGAAGCTTAGCTGAAACTTCATCAGGTTAGTTGCTCAGTATCCTTCATTAGATTTTGAACTATTTTGTTGCTTCAAACGAACAAAATGCACAAATTACAAATGATGGACTATAGCTTTAAAGACGGTTGGCCATGTCATGTTGCAGTGGGAAACCAAGTTTATGGAATATCCTCTTGAACATCAAGGGTCGATGACATGGGTGCAAATTCGGTGATTAATAACGCAAAACAAGACTGCGTCTTGATCGCCAGATTCTGACCATGCAGCGGGCACTGTCTATCAGGTCTTCCGTAAGCAGTGGTGGCGCCAGACTCTAACATTTTGGAGGGCAATTAGGGGGCAATGAAATATTTTTTGGGGGGCAGTCAGAATAAAATCATAAGCCTGTGTATGCACGCATGGTCCGGAAATAGGCCACTACAGCAACTTAGAAGTGTAGTCATTTTTATGAATGAGAAATATATCAAACCCCAGAATGGTGTACATGTATAACCATGTGTAAAACAAATGTACAAAGACATTGGCTGCACACTATCTACGCATGTGTGGCGTGTTTTGTACCAAAGTACCAATGTTTATAATGCTTTCCTTGGCCCAAAATGTGTTGGTATTTTATGAATCTTAACCGTAAAGAAAATAAATATAATTAAACCATTTGTTGATACAGTGTTGGGAGAAAACTGAAGGGAGGGGGGGGGGGGCAATCTGGGGGAAAATTCCCCCCCCCCCCCCCCTCATCCCATGCAGTGAATGAACAGTCAACTTATAAAACAGGATGAAAAAACATGAAGGTTTTCGAATATTTGAAAGACCAAAAACATTTGGAAAGGTAGAGCCGGGCTTACACAGTTTCACCAGAAAACAAGCAAATGCCGACCACCCTTCAAATTTTGGCTTTGTCCCACTGTACTGCAAAATGGCAATATCTGACTTTATATGCTCATTTCGTGGGGACAAGTTACATATAAGTTTTTGGTGAAATGCATTTACTTTTTGTGTTTGATTTGCAGTATCTTCACAAGCGTTTCAGTCCATTGATGCGTTCGATTGGCGCGTTGTTCTTCATTCTTCAGACACTGCTGTACATCGGTGTTGTATTGAATGCCCCAGCATTAGCCTTACAAGCAGGTACATGTAGAACCCATTCAACAATGTCATGTGGTTATAAGGAGAGAATATTGCTTACTTTTTATTATTGATTCATAAGTGCCTGAGACAGTTTACCCATTCCTATTGGTTGAGAGCCCGTCACGTGGGTAGTTTTAAGCCTCTGATAAAACACTGGCTGCTTTAACCACAATTTCTACGTTCTGCGCCACACCGCACCACATGTGTGCCGCACAAATGCCAATTTCCATATAAGGACATTTTTCGCACTGCGCGTGTGAGGCACATACCTAGACATGGCCAGAGGGTGTTTCACAAAACATGAAGGAAATTGTTGAACAAAATTGTTGGAAATTTGTAACTTTTTGACTTGATTGTGACTTTTTGACCAAATGGTATTTATGAATCGGAATAAATATGTGCTTCCCTGGTTTTGAACAAGTATGTTAAAGAATCCTTAAATACGGGATGTAGGCATGCGCAGAAGCAAAAATTCCTCGCTAAGCAGTGAAATACGCTTATCGTAAGCACAGAATTTTCTGATACAGTAAGCAGGGATTTTGTGCTAACGGTAAGCAGAGCCAAGACATTGGGGCCCTGGGCCCATTTTCATGGCACTGCTAAGCTCAAAAATTTGCTTAGCACAGAAAATGTCTGGCTAATATAAAAGCAGGTTACCAGCCAAAACTCCCTGTGATTTTCATGCTAAGCAAACGACTGCTGAATACTAATCACGTGGAGTTTTGGCTGGCGGCCTGCTTTTATAAGCCAGACTCTTTTTGTGCTAAGCAAATTTTTGTGCTTAGCAGTGTCGTGAAATTTACCCCGGGCTGGTTGATGATACTGGCCTGAGCCTTCAGCTCATTATCCTCATAACTTACTCACTTAGCAAAATAGAGCTAAGAAACAATTAGAAACAGTACAGGGTGATTAAAAAAAAAAAAAACGAAACCCAAATGTTCGGACCATTGTTTCTGCATGTAGCCCTTTCGAAATCTAGGATATGAAAGCCCAATTCATAAGCTTTCTTTTAGTACAAGAATCATTCAAATCACTCGTGTACTTTTCGAGTTACGGAATTTTAAACACAACCACCGTTTTAGAGTCCTGTCCACAGATCACAAGAAGGTTAGTGTTCTTTCAGCAAAATGAAAACAAATCACATAGGGATGTGTGTGAATTGTTTTCATTTTGCTGATAGAACGCACACCTTTTTTTGTGTATGATCAATTGACAGAACTTTAAAACGTGAAAAACGTTTAAAAACTTTGAAAGTGCTACATGCAGAACTTCACTTCAACAATAGTCCCGACGTTTGGGTTTCGCTTATTTTGCCTCGCCCTGTGTACATTTACATGACAGTTTGGCTTGCAATCTTATGTTTGGAGTAAGTGCTTTATATTTTAAATAATATATTTGTTTGTATGAACAATCGTATTTTGTTTAGCCCCTTGAAAATCTCGTTTACATCATGCTCTTGACATGTATGACTCATGACCAAACAAAGGGGGTATTTTAATAACATAATTTGTACATTTAAAGGGAAAATACAACATTTGCAAACATCAAAAAATAAAACTACCAAATCATTTTGAAATACCTTGCTGGACTGTTAGTGAATGACAGTGTAAAGCATCCTGTAAAATCATGGCACCTGGTATACTGTCATTTTCAAGAAAAGTGGTATTTTTGTATCAATTTCCAACGCTGGTCGGCCGACCAGCGTTGGAAAAAACTGGCGCTTTTTTTTCAAATACTGGCCCCAATTGACCATCGCACTTGTCTGCAATCGATTACACACCTGTGAACGGGCACAAGCCAGCTAGACTGGTTCCCTGACCTTACAACTCCCCAATGTACGTAAACTGCTCTGTTTCTTCTTATATGGAGTCAGGAACCAGACTACAGGAAAACGATTGTTTTTCTTGACTGTTATAGCATTTTCGAACCCAAAACCTCAAAAAAGTCAGGGTGACTATATTTGCTATATATTTCCAACCCCCCAATTCCATCCATTTCTGAAAATTACAGCAAAAGCAAATGATGTATATTCCCTTTAAATCTTTGCAGCTACCAATTTTCCCGTATATGCCACTATACTACTCTTGGGTGCCCTCTGTACTGTATATACTGCAATGGTAAGTAATGGCATTTCTGTTTTTATTTTTTAAGTAAAAATTTTTTGGCCTGGCAAGTGACCTGCTCCACCAAAAAAAAAGTATTTTGTAAAAAAGGGAAATAAAGTTATGTACACGGTTGGAAAGTCCACAACGTAAACTTTCATTTGGTAGCCCCTTGTTGAGGCCCAGCCATTGACATCCTGGAGCAGTGTGGAGGATTTGAAGTACAGGGTGCGTCAAAAAAAGCGGAACCCAAACACCAAAAAATGTTTTTCATATTTTAAAAAATATGAAGCACCAAAGAGATTAATGAATGGAAAGCCAATTTCAAAAGCTACTTTTAGATGAAAAAATTACTGAAATTGCTCAATCCGTTCAAAGAATACGACCGTTTAAACGCAATGACCCTAAAACCTGTCTCGTCCAAAAAAATCAATTTATTGTGTGTTTTGACTGTTTGGAACAACAAAGAAAATGACACAGAATACTTGTTTCAACAACTGTCACCAACTGTAGCACACAATTTTTTGATTAACAACCCTGGTTAGGCAAACAATATGATTTATATAATCTACTTTTTTAAACGACAGGCCTTTAAAAGGACTTCGCTGCATATTGTTAACGTTTAAACTAAGATTTCATCGCTGGTGATGTTTGAAGACAATTGTGTCGACGATTGTTGAAATCGCATTTTTGGGACGAGACAGGTTTTAGCGTCATTGTGTTTAAATGGTGATATTTTTTGAACGGATTGACTTTCAGTAATTTTTTCATCCAAAAGTAGCTTATGAAATTGGCTTTCCAGTCATTATTATTTTTGGTGCTACATATTTTTTTAAATATGAAATATAATTTTTTGGGTTTGGGTTCTGCTTTTTTTTACTCACCCTGTATAACGTAGGCCTAGATTTATGCACAGCTGAGCATAAACATCGCAAGGCCCAATCCAAGACCTTCACACAGTGCATCCTTCAAAATCAGCCCCACGTTTTCGCCATATAGTCTCAATCCTGCAAAATCCTCTATTTTGGAAGAGGATTTTGGAGGATTCGGGAGGTAGTGTCGAAGTACACGCATTCTTCCTGCATCAATCAATATACAGTTTTTCCATTCATTTTTTGTTCTCAGGGTGGCATCAAAGCTGTCATCTGGACCGATGTCTTTCAGTTCATTGTTCTGTTTGGGTCCCTTCTGACCATCACCATTATGGGTATCGTTCAAACGGGGGTATGTCGCATATCTGGGACTACAACAACCAGAGGGGACACCTCAACTTCTTCAAGTGAGTGCCCACAGAGATAGGGGTGTACCTGGGAACATTATGGGTATCGTTCAAACTGGGGGTATGTCGCATATCTGGGACTACAACAACCAGAGGGGACACCTCAACTTCTTCAAGTGAGTGCCCACAGAGATAGGGGTGTACCTGGGAACATTATGGGTATCGTTCAAACTGGGGGTATGTCGCATATCTGGGACTACAACAACCAGAGGGGACACCTCAACTTCTTCAAGTGAGTGCCCACAGAGATAGGGGTGTACCTGGGAACATTATGGGTATCGTTCAAACTGGGGGTATGTCGCATATCTGGGACTACAACAACCAGAGGGGACACCTCAACTTCTTCAAGTAAGTGCCCACAGAGATAGGAGTGTACCTGGGAACATTATGGGTATCGTTCAAACTGGGGGTATGTCGCATATCTGGGACTACAACAACCAGAGGGGACACCTCAACTTCTTCAAGTAAGTGCCCACAGAGATAGGGGTGTACCTGGGAACATTATGGGTATCGTTCAAACTGGGGGTATGTCGCATATCTGGGACTACAACAACCAGAGGGGACACCTCAACTTCTTCAAGTAAGTGCCCACAGAGAGAGGGGTGTACCTGGGAACATTATGGGTATCGTTCACACTGGGGGTATGTCGCATATCTGGGACTACAACAATAAGAAGGGACACCTCAACTTCTTCAAGTAAGTGCCCACAGAGATAGGGGTGTACCTGGGAACATTATGGGTATCGTTCAAACTGGGGGTATGTCGCATATCTGGGACTACAACAATAAGAAGGGACACCTCAACTTCTGCAAGTGAGTGCCCACAGAGATAGGGGTGGACCTGGGAACATTATGGGTATCATTCAAACTGGGGGTATGTCGCATATCTGGGACTACAACAATAAGAAGGGACACCTCAACTTCTTCAAGTAAGTGCCCACAGAGATAGGGGTGTACCTGGGAACATTATGGGTATCGTTCAAACTGGGGGTATGTCGCATATCTGGGACTACAACAATAAGAAGGGACACCTCAACTTCTGCAAGTGAGTGCCCACAGAGATAGGGGTGGACCTGGGAACATTATGGGTATCATTCAAACTGGGGGTATGTCGCATATCTGGGACTACAACAATAAGAAGGGACACCTCAACTTCTTCAAGTAAGTGCCCACAGAGATAGGGGTGTACCTGGGAACATTATGGGTATCGTTCAAACTGGGGGTATGTCGCATATCTGGGACTACAACAATAAGAAGGGACACCTCAACTTCTGCAAGTGAGTGCCCACAGAGATAGGGGTGGACCTGGGAACATTATGGGTATCGTTCAAACTGGGGGTATGTCGCATATCTGGGACTACAACAACCAGAGGGGACACCTCAACTTCTTCAAGTGAGTGCCCACAGAGATAGGGGTGTACCTGGGAACATTATGGGTATCGTTCAAACTGGGGGTATGGCGCATATCTGGGACTACAACAATAAGAGGGGACACCTCAACTTCTTCAAGTGAGTGCCCACAGAGATAGGGGTGTACCTGGGAACCAGGTACCGGAGTACCTGACCGCTGATGTCAGGAATCGGTTCCAGATTATGGAATCGGGTAACCCGTAACAAAATTGACATATTAGTTAGTAACTTTGCAGACCAGTGTTTCCCCTGGCTAATGAACTGAGCAAGGTGGTCTGGTGGTATTTTACAATTCAAGTTGACGATTGAAACGAAATTTATGCAGTCTGCAAACTGAAAAGTACTGCAGCGCTCACAGAAATGCGTGATGCTTCAAAAAACGCTTTCGAAATTGTGAGTTCTTGATACATGGAGGTAAAGGAAAACGCTTATATATTACACAAAATGAAAATTTTTCAATGGATATTTCCGTTATTATAAATCTTCACAGCGAGGTGGTGATATTGGCCAAAAAATGAGCGAGATGGTCACTGAAAGTAGCGAGGTGGGCCGCCTCACGTTTGAATGGGCAGGGGAAACACTGTCGCAGACGATGAAAAAGACAGGTGTTGCATGTCCTTTGTGGAGAATTTTCGAAATGAAAACCAGCCTACATGGAAAAACAACACAGATTCACACATAATGCGTGCGATCATGCAATTTACACCGTGAAGCTATTTTTATATTGAGCTCATGGCTTCACACTTGCATCTTGCTGCATTGACTAATTGACGTGGTAGTGTTATCGTGCGAACCTTTATGAACCATCTGTAAAGCAACTTCCGAGATTCAAATTTTGCCCAAGTGAATAGAGAAGTTTGAAGGCGTCTGATTGTTGAAACCAATGAAGGTGACGGATGTAATTGGCCATATTTGCCTTGCCAGTCCACTTGTGGTAGTTAAAGGGAATATACAACATTTGCAAACATTGAAAAATAAAGCTACCAAGTTTTTACGAAATACCTTACTAGGATGTTGGTAAATGACAGTCTAAAGAATCCTGTAAAATTATGGCACCTGGTGTGAAGTCATTTTCAATAAAATTGTATTTTTGTATACATTTCCAACTATTTTTCAACTACTGCTCCAACTTTACACTTTTTTCAGTCCAAATTTTGTTTGCTATTGGTTACATGTTCATAAACGGGTGCAGGCCAGCTAGACTGGTTCCCTTACCTTACAATTTTCCGGCATCTATAAATTGATCCATTTCATCTTTAGTGGAGTCAAGGAACCAGACTACTTGAACATTTTTGTTTTTCTTGGTTTTTCCAGCATTTTCGAACACAAAACTTCAAACATGTTAGTGTAACAATATTTGATCTATTATACTAACCCCTCAAATAGTTCATTTCTGAAAATTACAGCAAAAGCCAATGATGTACATTCCCTTTAAACTCAACTGGTTTTTTTTTTTTGTATCTTGCAATTTTCAGCTTTTCGCCAGACCCAACCCAGCGGCTGACCTTCTGGGGTACAATCATCGGCGGCAACTTCAATACGCTGACCATCTGGGCGGTCAGCCAGACATCGGTCCAGAGATTCCTGACCGCAAAGAACCTCAAAGAAGCCAAAAAGTAAGATGACGTTAACCTCAGACTGGCTTTGGTAGAATGATCAACAGCGTTCCAACCGCCATGAAATCCTGCCAAACCCATATGTGATGATGGGTAATATTTGGCTATTGCAGTCGTCCAGTTGCCTTACTTCCTCTTTACGCATGTATGCTCTATACTTGTTGAATGTTCAGTGCACCATTGTGGTGCTCAGTGGTCTTGTGTCAAACTGGAAGGCTGAAAGGGAGTGGCGTCCCTTGCCTCAGTGTGGTGACAACCAATGTATTGTTATACAAATATTGAGTGGATCAGCGTGGAATGGGAGGAATATTATCGCAAGGTAAAATCTGGACTTTTCCAGAGGCGAAGCCAAGTGAACTAAAAAAGTCCAGATTTTACCGAGTGATAATATTCCTCCCATTTCACAATTGAAAGCCACTCAATATTTGTTTATATAACTGACATATAGATCCTTGTCATTTGATATATTGGAACTTTTATTTCAATACAAAATTGGTGAAAAATATATTTCTCTCTTCCAAACCACCCCTTCACTCTTTGGAACAATACGCGCTATGCGCAACGCTAAACGTGCACACCAGCATGCATTTGCACACAAATACCGCGTCATGGAACAAGACTGATCCTAACTGTTCAATAGTATTTCCCATTCCCCATGGGCGGATAGTACTTTTTGAGCCCCGGCGTGAATGGCAGTAATAACGAATAACACGTGATGTGAGTTCCACCAATCAAATGACAAGGATCTGTATGCCGGTTTTATCAATAAAAATAGGCACCTAAGATATAAAACAGTGTAAAATAGTACACAGATTGCTGATACAAGAAAAAGAATAATAGGGTACCTTGTTTGGAGGATATGGCTTGATGATACCTCTTTGTGTTGTTTTTTTTTAAATTCAGATCTGTTTGGTTTGGTCTGCCCGGCACCGTGATTGTCCTGACTTTAGTAGGACTCATTGGGTTGGTCCTATTTGCATATTACAACAGTAAGTTGACCGCAGACTCTTTTACCATTTCCAATGGTAGTCGGCCGACCACCATTGGAAAAACCTAACTATTTTTCAATTACTGCTCCAACTTTACCCTTTTTTCAGTCCAAATTTTGTTTGCTATTGGTTTCATGTTCATGAACGGGTGCAGGCCAGCTAGACTGGTTCCCTTACCTTACAATTTTCAGGCATCTATATTAAAATTGATCCATTTTATCTTTAGTGGAGTCAAGGAACCAGACTACTTGAACATTGTTGTTTTTCTTGGTTTTTCCAGCATTTTCGAACACAAAACTTCAAACATGTCAGTGTAACAATATTTGATCTATTATACTAACCCCTCAAATAGTTCCTTTCTGAAAATTACAGCAAAAGCCAATGATGTACATTCCCTTTAATAAAAAGCCGATTTAGGCAAAAAAAAAAATACGTCGGTCTCTGGTCAGCGCGCGCGTCGATTTTTATCATGCTCGTCGATCTTTTTTTTTTCCAAAAATAATGTTCTGCGGTAGCTCCAACAGCGCCCTCTATTTCCGCACCTCCTCAATTTTTTTACCAAAGAGCACCAAGGAATGGGAAATTGCACCAAGGCAAATGATCGAAAGCACCAAAGCAAATTATGGAGGACACCAATGTACATGAGAACACCAAAAAAGCAAAATAGTACCCACCTTGTCTGTACAATCCAAGCTTGAAGAAAAAAAAAAAAAAAAAAAAATCCGCGTGCCGCGTCATTTCCGGAACTTCGGTCTGACCAGAGATTGAATATTTTTTTGTTTTTTTGGCCTTATCGAATAGCACTTCTTGCATGTAACTTTGCTTTATTCGTTCTTTTGGTTTCTCTCTTTGAAATGAGACAATTCTTTGTTAATTAATCTTTCAGATTGTGCGACACTAGTGAACCCAGCAAATGCCACTGCAGCAAGTAAGAAAATCTTTGAAGACAGTCGTTTATATTTCACAAGCTGCTCACAAATTGTTGCATATTTTTTTGAGTCGTCTTGAAAAAATTCCAGGAAAAAAAATCTGGAGATATGGGCCTTTTTCACGAAGTTGGCCATTTTTGTTGAGTTCCCTGAATGTATTTCATCAAGTGTTAACTGTTGAACGGGATGGCGCCAGACTATTTATGCAGGCACAATGCAGCCTTATTTTACTTTCATTTTTTTTTTTAATCTGGCTTTTAACATCAGGGAATGTTTAATTACAAATTTTAATTTATTCATTGAAGCAGACTGGAATTAATTAGTAATTTACTTGCTTTCATTTCTCTTCGCAAGTTACAAAAAGAAAGATTTTTACCTCACTTTCAATTCAACATGGCTGACTCGTGAATAAGGCCCATCTGCGGCCTCTGTTGAGTAATCAATTCTACTGAGTCAAGTATTGGCTGTTATTAAGTTTTGTCCACAAGATTACCTGGTGTGAGAGCTTTAATTTAGATCTCCAACTTTTTTTGGATTATGATTGAGATATCCTGTTGGGGGAAGTTCTAGGATTATTATTGAGATGACTCTTTTTACCTTATCATGAATATTGGGGAGAGTAAGGGGCCAGTTTTAAAGAAGTCTGGCAAATAATAATAATAATAATAATAATTTGGGAGGCTAATCATCCTTACTCGCAGCTGGTATGCTGAATTGCGAAGGACGGGGCTACAACGTGGTCAGGCTGCTGGCACGTGAAGGCGCCTAAGGCTGCCGGCCACATTGACCCATATATGACCACGGAGCACAGCCTGAGATCGAAAGTGTTTGATTTTTCCGGAGGGAGGAAAACCGGAGGGCCCGGAGAAAAACATGAACATGAACATTTTTATTTGGAGTCACAATATATTTGTATCCCCTCCCCCCCCCCATGCCAGTTGGTGAGAAGACACATATGATGATAATGGTAACCTGTTTTGCTAAGAAAGTATCCCAGTGTTCATAGGTCAATTTATCTATTCGTTTTCTTCAATTACTGCATTAATTTTTAAAAATTGGATTATTTAACAACTGTTGACTGCTGTGATGTGGGATATGTCGTTTTAACACCAGACATTCATTTTTCACACCGGGGCGAAGTCGAAGGTGCTATGCACCCCTAGGGTGTTAAAAACGTCATATCCCACATCACAGCAGTCAACAATTGTTTTGTTATACCTTTGTCTTGGATTCTTTGGATTTTGATGCAAAAATCACGAAAACCAACAGCAGTAAACACAACAATCATGACAATTGAACGTCAACTCACATGCATGTCGCGTGCTCGAAACAGCTGATCGTCTGCTGGTTCACTGCTCCCACTCGTGTGTGAAAACATGGTGAAAATAGCGTGGGTACCAACGATACAAGCATTTCACACCGTACGTACCGTACCTACAAATGTCATAGCACACTCCCTGTGGGATATCACATACATGTGATTGTTCTAGGCCAGTGAAAATACAGTATCAAAACAAGGTATAACAATAATATTTATCAAATTAGGTTTTACCCTTCACCGACGTTTTTAAACACTGTTTACTCAGTGTGTTACCTCCCGAGTGAAAGTTGGAAAAAAATTACTTGGGTGGGACTCGAACCCACGACCTATTCATGAATAGTTAATGCGGTACCCGCTGCTATGTACATGATTCGAACCGGCCAACCGATCCCGTTAGCTCAGTAGTCGAGTGGTAAGACATCTGCATTAGAAAGCAGGAGGTCGTGGGTTCGAGTCCCACCCGAGTGATTTTTCCCAACTTTCACTCGGGAGGTAACACACTGAGTACACAGTGTTTATACGTCAGTGAAGGGCAAAAGCCTAATTTGATTTACACCCCGACGCAAAATTCCATCTTATGAATAATAATATTTATCGTTTTACACTCAGTTGAGTTGTGTAAGTGTCTTCATAAACATTGTTATAAATGCTTAAGGTGCCTTATGGAATTAATTAGTATGTCATTATCATTATTTCAATTGTTTTGTTCTTTTCTCCCAAAGCTGCACTACTGAACTGTAACGGCTCGACGCCTCATTACACACCACACTACCAATCATCGGACCAGGTGGGTAATCGGAAAGTGAATTCCCAGCAAATACGCAATCTCTGAACCCCTGAAATACCTTGAAACTTTCCCTGAACTCCCTGCTTAGTTTTACTGAGTAGAAGACCATGTCCATCAAAATCCATGACTCTGGGACTGGGAGTCAGGTTGGCGTAGCGGTACTTTCCTCGCCTTCCACCGCTGTGACCCGGGTTCGAATCCCGCCCGGGCCAATAGGTGGATTGGGTTTTCAGTCCCTACCTGATTCCGTGGGTTTTCCCCAGAATATTCTTCTGGGGTTTTCCTCCCACCTCTAAAACTGTAACTTCTTCTCATTGTCTTCTCTCCACAGGTTTCTTCAGGCTTGCGAGCTACAGTGCCTAGGGCGCTTTTGAGGAATCCTTGGTTTCATTACCAGAAATGATTAATAATAATAATTATAATAATAATAATAATAATTACCTGGATTGGACATTTGGGAGACTTCCCCATAGACTTGTGCACAAAATGTTTCACACTTATATGTGCCCTAACCCAATATTCCCTTGTCCCTTTTCCACAAATTTTGGTTTGTTTACTAATTAGACCACGAGCAACAAATATAATCTAATTGCGACAGTAAAATTGTGCGTCTAAAGGGGGGCTGTGACATTAGGAAGACATGAAAATGTCTCCCTAATGACCGATGTCTCCCATCGTGCGAAGAAATTACGATAACGTGTCTCCTTAATGGTACCATTACACCTATAAGATTACTCTGCTTCACATAATGCTTCAGGACCAAATCTGTTGAAATCCACCACTTTTACTGGTGGATTTTGATGGACTTTAGTACACATGGCTTATCTGCCAAAATTGCCCAGAAATGGAGGGGTGGGGGGGGGGGTTGGATTGGATTTTGATGGAGTTGGTAACGTTTGGGCTAAGGTGCGTAAACTTTGCAGAAGTTTGATGGCACATACACTCATTAAGTGACGGATATAGGATTCTTACTCACCATTCAGATAAAATCAGCTGCCACAATTGCCACCTGACAAATATTTCAGTTTTTTGAGTACTGCACTCTTTGGATCACTGAATTTGACTTTTAAGAGAATTGTGTTCTGCAAATCTACTCAACTCCACAGGTTCAAAGAGAAAGGACGATTTGTATGTACGTGTCTGTAACTCACGAAAATCTTAAATTGAGCACTCATTTTAACAGGTGAAATGCTGATAACCTTATTTTTGTGAGGTAGAGATTATTGTTTTCAGAATTGTGAGCGAAGAATCCAGCTACAACTTCATCTGCGCACCAGCTGAAATATATTATACAAGTAGCAAGTTTTTTTCCCCTGTTTGTTCTTAAGATAGCGGTTCACTCTTTTCCATCCAGATTCTGGTGTATTTCGTCAGCCTGGAGTTTGGCAAAATCCCAGGGATTCAGGGTCTGTTTGTGGCTTGCCTGTTTGCTGGAACTCTCAGGTAAGCTGGTGTTGAGAGATTTTCTTTCACATGTTGCTTCTAAAAATATTTGGTATTAGTAGGACAGTGTTGTCCAGGTGTAACCTGATTCTGTTCTTGTAATCAGAGTTGTTATTGAAACAGTATTCTCAGGTCAATCACACATCATTCAGTCCCAAGTTATTTCGATGACGATGACACAGATATTTCCTTGTCAGTGTTCATCTCCTGTGTAAAATTGTGATTGGTATGTGATCGACGTATGATTGACATGTGATTAACATGTGATTAACATGTGACTGATGTGTGATTGACGTGTGATTAACATGTGACTGATGTGTGATTGGCATGTGATTGACATGTAATTGACGTGTGATTGAACTTGTGACTGACCTATTATTGACTTGAAATCGACTCATGTGATGTGACTTATGATGTGACATGTAATAAGCATAGGGTAAGCATGTGAGTGACATGGATTGACATGTGATTGACATGTGATTGACATGTGATTGGCATGTGAGTGACATGGATTGACATGTGATTGACATATGATGGACATGTGTTTGACATGCAACTGACATGTGACTGACTTGTGATTCACATGCGAATGATGTCTGGTTGACTTGTGATTGACATGTGACTAACTTGTGACTGGCCTATTATTGACTTAAGATCGACTCACTTAAAAGTCTACTTGCCGTTGAGTCTGGGATTTTCTAAAATGAACAACTTTGACATTTTTTGAAATGGGAAATATGGGTCTCTCATTTCAGCACCGTGTCGTCGGGCCTGAACGCCCTAGCTGCCGTGACGCTAATGGACGTTGTGCGGATATGGAGAGGTCGCAGTAAGCCTCGTACTGACTCGGACGCCAGCGGGGAGATATCCACAAACGCCAGCGGTAGCACTGTTACGTCAGCTTCAACGCCAAGCTCCTCAGTCGCTGTGAACCAGGCCCAGGACCGATGCGACACCATCATCTCCAAGCTACTCAGTAAGCTTATTGCTTATTAGCTGGGTACTAGTGATTGGCAATTAACAACACGTCAAAGCTTGGCTGGTAACCCTGTTGGTGCTAAGCAACATTTACTTTGTGTTTAGTAAATTAATGTGGTTCCACAAAATTGGCCCCTGGTGGGACTCTGAGGTAGACAAACCTGGTGAAAACCATCAGTGCGTCAAGCGCTCGCCTCTCACCAATGTGGCACGGGTTCGATTGCCGGCTTGGGCCATATGTGAGTAGAGTATTTTGTTGATTCTCTCCTGTGCCACAAGGGTTTTTCTCTTTTCTCCGGGCTCTCGGGTTTTCCTCCCTCCACAAAAATCAACACTTTCAATCTCTGGCTGTGCTCCGTGGTCAGACATGGGTCTAATGGCGGCAGCCTAAGGCGCCTTAAATGCCTTCGGCTCGACCTTGTAGCTGCATCCTTTGCAAGTCAGCTTCTGCTGCGAGTAAGGACGACAATCCAAATGCTGGCCAGTATCAGACTTTAAGTGTCCTGCCATTTTGAGTCTGTGTTCTGACTAATTAGTCTGTGCTCAGGCTAATCTTTCTTTGTAGGTCATTTTGTAAACGATTCTCGTGGTAAATTCAGAAACCAAAGTAGATTTCGAGTGACTGATCCCTTTTTTGTGTCCATGGATGTATACAGCTGCTGGTTTTGGTGTTGCCAGTATCGGCCTGGCGTTTGTGGCGTCTAAACTAGGCTCTCTGGTGAAGATGGCCAACACAGTACTAGGCGGTGTGGGTGGACCGCTCCTTGGAGTGTTCTCACTGGGAATGCTGTACCGAAGAGCAAACACAGGGTAAGGATAAACTAAATGATGAAAAGATCATCACCAAACTCACAACAGACTAGAAGTCAGTCTCTTGAAACAGTTCCTACCTTATGCCATTCATTACGATTTGGGATTTCTCAAGACCTTGGCACAGCTGCGCAGTGTTTCAATGTTATACAAATCTTGGATGAGAATGATCACAGCGTTTACGATAGTTATTTGTGTACAATTATATATCAGTTACAAAACAGTCATTGAATCAGCTCCGCTTGCCATTTTGAAGACAGTTTTTTCTAATCTTCTTTGGAAAAATTCTGCCGTGGGTAAAACAACATTTAGTTTGCCTCATAAACAAAGCTGTGAATTTCTTGTGTCAACCCTAAGTTGCGCAACTCTACTAATTATATTGATTAGCCAGTAAAATCATCTTTTTTGAAAATTTCTGCCGTGCCTGAAGCCAAAATTAAATAACTGTGTTGCACAATAATGTATTGCTGAGGGTGGAAGTATGTAGGTAGTCGGTAATCCATAATGAAAAAAAAAATGGTTCCCCGTTTACAAAATGTCTTTCCAACACTTTTACCTCTGTGCCAGAGTCAGTTGCCAGAGATTTTTCATTTTCTTTTTCTCTGTCATAATTTACCTGCAGTGGAGCTCTGATAGGAATCCTGGTTGGTTTCTACCTATCGATGTGGATCACAATAGGTGCAGCGACTCATCAAGATGAAAATCACAATGTTAAAGAAGATGCATTCGCACTGTATAGGGTGAGTCAAGCTGTACAGACAAATCTGATTATTGCAGTTGGCTGGGGACCATAATTGCTGGGGGGCCATAATATGCACTTTATAACAAAACCGGGTGGAATTGACACTCATTTTTCTTCCAAGATTTGAAAGTTTGTTCTGTTGTTAAGAGTATATACCAACAACACTGCTTTTTTCCGAGTGTCCCTTCATTCATTGCAGTAAGAAAGGAATCACAAAGAAATATAGACTAGTAATGTGAATAATCCCAAATCTCTTCAAAAACCAGAGAGACATTTTTTTTTATCAAAATCTCCCACCATCTTTTTCCAGCAGAAAATTTCTAGAGCAAACCCAACTGTAGTTTAAAACTTTACAGTGGAAAACATGTTTAGAACTATATAAACACACATGTTCCAGATACACTAAAATTATTTCGCCAAATAATGCTGCTTTAGAATCATTTTTATGCCACGTTTGCCCTCCATGTAAAAATTCGTCTTTTTTTTTACTTTCAGATCTCCTTCATGTGGTACAGTATGTTCTCCAGCATGGCTACCTTCATAGTAGGAGTCATTGTCAGTGAGATCATCCGATGCAGTATACCAGACGAGAGATACAAACGAGTCGACCCTCTCCTCCTTGCAACATTCCTGAGGTAAGAGCCACTTATTTACTCCCCGGTCCTCCCGTGCCGACTTTCCCGAGGTTGTCTAGTCACCGACACATGTACCTGCTCAAGATGAATTCTGTCCATGTTTGTGTGATTGTTTATTTGTGCACTCTTGAAAATGATGCAGAGTGCATAAGCTCAAGTCTCAAGCGATGAGTGCACTGTGAACACGTAGGCGCATGAGTATGGGGGAATATAGCCCAGGTTGGACGATGTCTTCATTGCATTACGTCTGACGTCCAGGGTATAAATTGTACCACCATAGTGAAAAAAATTAGAACACATTTTTTTGTTCATATTATTACCTGACGGAGGAAGCTGAAATTTCGCTTACATATTCCCTGTGTCCAGAATTGTGCCTGCGCTGGGTTTAGAAAAGGCACATGTGCCCGCGGGCAGCGTGTTTACCGAAAATAAACCGCCAAGTTCTACGCTTTTGTTGAAAAAAATTTTCAGTACGAACTCCCCGCGTGAAGATATACATGCGCATGCCGTTTGCTGCCGCTTGCTGCCGTGGCGGCAGCGTGCTAGGTGTGCATGCACGCGCGCGCGTAATCTTCACATGGGGAGTTCGTACTGAAAATGTTTTCAACAAAAGCGTGGGATTGCGGTTTATTTTCGGTAAACACGCCGCCCGTGGACATATTTGCTTTTCTAAACTCAGCGCAGGCATAATTCTGGACACAAGGAATATGTAAGCAAAATTTCAGTTTCCTCCGTCAGGTAAAAATCATACAAAATTCCCCCCCCCCCCCCCCCCCCCCCCCCCCCCCCCCCCCCCCCCCCCCCCCCCCCCCGCTATGGCAGGAGAAATTCATACCCTGGACTCCGTTGCGTGTACACAACGGAGTCCAACCTGGGCTAGGGGGAATAGTGAAAACAACACTCAGGCTTCCTTTCTGAGATGGAATTTACCCACAGCTAAGTCAAATCGAAGTAGCCAGCCAACTCTGGCAAGCTTGGTGGGAAAAGTGGTTAAAGGGAATGTACAACATTTCAAAGGATGTTTTAGACTGTCAGTCCCTAACAATTCAGTAAGGTATTTCGTGATAATTTGATCATTTTGTTTTTTGATGAGTGCAAATGTTGTATCTTCCCTTTAAGATGTCAGCACTAACGAGCAGGAGGATATGAGTTTGATTCATATCAGACTAAGCTTGTGAATTTTTTCTTACAAGCTCTCGAACAGCATTGAATTTACAGTGCTAATAACATAAAATCGACACTCCCCTATGCAAACAATTCCATCTTACAAGATAAGATTACATGTAATGAAACATTTTTTTAAAACTGTTTCAAGTGTTAAATATGCGAATTTCCTTCCTTTTGTGTTTTCAGGCCCAAAGGTTGGCATAAATCCTACTCCGGCACCGAGTCGAACAACCCCGACCTGCAGATCGGCGATCCGGTGTTCCAGAGTCTACTGGCCTCTGGCAATCAGAGCATGGACCAGGAGAACGAATCGCTGATGGGTGACATAGAAGGAAATGACATCCACGAATTAGGGTCAGTGCAAAACGAGGTCACAGACATGAGAAATGGACAGTATTAATGCTTAGCAGGCTTGTGGCACAGGGGTCCAGGTCCTAGACTTGTGGCTGATTCACCTCATTGATTTGTTGTGGTTTTGAAATAGTCGGGTCCAAGAGCTAAGGTTGTAGACTAGTAAATAAACTGCCATAGATTCCAGTGATAAATACACCCACTTCCCAAATTCAGGAAAAATACTCACAACTCTTTAAGGTGTTCAAGCTTTTTTCATCATCCTTCATTTTCTGTACAATTCCATCCAAAGATGATCAGCCTTAAGAGTAGTCCTGAAGCGTATCGCCATTTTGAGAAATGATGCCTGCACTTCATGGCAAAATAGAGCAATTTTAGGGCCCAATTTCACAAAACCCTCAAGTTCATGGCCCACAAAATTCTGTAATAAGAAAAAAAAGAAAAAGTTGGGGGCATGCAAATCGTGATTTGGCCGGCGTAGGCAAGTTTGGGCCTATTTACTGGCCTGCAACCTCACGGACTCGACAGATTAAAGACTCCACGCTATGCTGCTTGTGTAATGTAATTTATGCGCATGTTCATACATAGACTGCTACAATGTATATGCCAGTATCTCACTAACCAAACTGAAAAATATGTTGTTAATAAAATGTATAGTTATTTACAATTTTCCTCGTGATGTGGAAACAAAGTTTATTTTTTATTTTAATTGGGCATTATTTACGAGAAAAAAAACAAGGTTGTGTTTTCTTGTTCATAATTGTAATGGCAGTTACAAAAGCAACAGATGTGCTCGTTCTACGTTCATTTCTCTATTTTCTAAGTTATAAATTATAAAAAAAAATAAATACTTACAAGGCATTACAAAGGAATGATTAAAACGCCTCACCAAAAGGTGACATGACGTACTCTACTCAAATTACGTCGGTGAAGGGGATATATTTCGGTTTTACTCGAGTTACGGTTTTACTCGATTTACAGTCTGTCCGCCCATCTTTGGTACGAGTAAAAATAAGTAAGAAACTAATAATCAAACAAAACAAAACTCTATTGGCGTTGAATATGAACCTTTCTCTCTGCCTTAACCAGTTCGCGCTGGAGCCATGCAAAAGTTTTCCGAAATTCAGATCAAATGACTGATGAACCCGCAACAAGCGCGGCTGGAAATATCTGTCAGCACCCAAAAAAATTAGGGTGTGCTACCCGCAGATCATGGCTTGAACCCATCGGCATCGAGGTTCGTGAAAAATAGCCCCGCGTCTGGGTCCGGTCACTGTCAAAATAAACCCGGCTCGAACTGGGTAAAAACAAAAACTCACAATAAGGCCAAAAAAAATAATAATACTCGGTCTCTGGTCAGCGCGCGCATCGATTTTAATCATGCGCGTCAACCCTTTTTTTTTTTTTTATTTCAAATTAACACGGAAGCTACAACAGCGCCCTCTATTGCCGCACCTCCTCAAATTTGTGTACCAAGGAGCACCAAAGAATGGGGAAATTGCACCAAGGCAAATGATAAAGGGCACCAAGGCAAATTATGGAGGACACCAATGTATAATGAGGACACAAAAAAGCAAAATAGTACCCACCTTGTCTGTACAATACAAGCTTGAAAAAAAAAAAAAAAAAAAAAAAACGTGTCGCCGCATCAATTCCGGAACTTCGGTCTGACCAGAGACCTAACACTTGCATTTGGCATGAGAAAACAAGATGCTAAAATGACTCTCTAAAATCCATACTTTAAACGCCCAGAACAGGTTTTTGACAAAAAGTACATTTAACCACATTCCATCTCACTTGCATACCACTCAAATGAAAGGTCTTGTTGTCACCTTTAATTTTGAGACCACATTGGAGGTTGTGACGCTTGTAGTTCTGATTAAGATTTCATAAAATTTTCCACTTTTCAACCCACGTCCACTTTTGCGTGGCATAATCATGATTATTGATAAGATCTGATTTGAGGCTTTTTTTAGTGGCAAAGAGCACAACTGGGGAAAAAGTTTGAATGTGAGGCGACTATCTCAAAAAAGTAAGCGGCAATTACCGACACCAACCAGAGGTTGTTAAGTTGATGTTGGCGCTTTCGGACGGAATATGATAGTTTGGAAAATGTGATTCAGACAATTCTTGACACAAGCGTGGTCACTTTTGTTTGTTGTTACAGACGTGACCAAGACAAACCGCCATCTTGAAAATGGTAAGAAATTATTTTTTGGGAAGCAGTATTTTACTCAGCATCATCTACCAGTAGCAACAAATAGAAACAGTCACAAAATCACAAGGATTTTTGTCACCAGATATTTAAAGATAATCCTTTTTGTTTAAAGATATACATGTATTGAAGATATTTTATCTTAATTAGTCGTAATGGCGATATATATATTTCATTCTACCCCCAGCCTTTTTCTGTGTAAACAGTCGCGTTGCATAAACAAATACGCATTGTCGATATTAGAATTTTCAGTAATCGATATATCGGAAATCCAACATCAAGAATATCCGATATATCGATTATCCCATGTAAAAGTTAAAGACCATAAAGATGACACTTTAAAAAAAAAAAAAAAATAAAAAAAAAAAATAAGTCCCAACTTTCCAGGGCCTTCTCTGGAGCATAATTGCTCAAACTTTTTAGACAAATCTCAGAGTTGTCCAGAACGGGCGGTTTCTTTTGAGGTTTTACATTGGGGAGACCACGAATTCCAGCCAACGCAGAGCACTAAGGGGGCTTGGCATTTCGCGATGTGTTTATTTTGAGGCACAAGTTGCCCCCGAGTTTTATTTCATTATACAGCAAACGTTAAACACAAAGTAAAAGCAAAAACTGTAGATTTTATTTTGACGATAATCTGACGCATTTTCGATATTTTTGATATCAATCCTCATTGAAAATATTGATATTTCAATATGATTAAAAAAACTTTGGCGATATCGATATCAAAATAATATTGAATAATCGAGTGATATCGATATATCAACAGTGCTTATAAACAAACTTAATTTTAATCTCTGTTTTTTTTTCATGCAGTGTATAACAGACTCAACACAGCGATATACACAATGTTCTCGTTAGGGCGTCCTCTTCTTTTTCTACAGACTCTTTGTATACATGTACGCAAAACTATTTTGTACACTTGATGTCAACCTTATCGATTTTCGTGCACTCCTCCCCTTTTATAGTATTTGTCCTTTCACTCCGTCATACATCGTTCAAATCATGTGAAATTCAGCCTCCATCACTAGATTATCATTCACGATAAGACATGTTACCCAACCAATTTCTGTCATGTGACCAGTCATGTGACATATGCCACCAGTCATGTGAGTCATTAACCTGGTTTTTTTTTTACATCGTAATTACTTTGGTTTATTCATGCTGACATTAATAATAATAATAATAATAATAATAAAGAAGTCTTATATAGCGCACGCATCTACCAACAGTTAGGTACTCAAAGCACTGGTAATTGTGTCTATTTTGAAAGACAGGTAAATGAAGTTTATGATAAATATGAGACCCATTATGTAGCACCTTTTTAAGGGTTAATTATAAGGGTTTACAAGGTAATTGAATGTATACGTTATAAGGAGTAAAATTAATGTTCAAGGAAAAACAAGTCATAAAGTAAAATTTTGATGAACTTATTTTAAGATGGATTCACTGAAGCGTCAGCATAGGGGTCAGGAGATGCCAAGGGCTTTTATTCCTTCCCCTGTCCCATTTCCTATATCCCCCGTATTATAGTCACAACCTTGCTGCATTATTTAAGTTGCGACTTGCCAAAAAATAAAAGGTCATATATGTTCCATCTCTTAGCCAGGGCTATGGCTAGGCATTTGTCATGTAATGTGGGCAAAGGCTGAGAAAAGATGTAGCCACAGCTCTGGCCAAGTTCGCGCAAGGACTAAAGTTGACTAATGGTGAACCATAGTTCGACTAACGCTTGCCCGAACTCTGTCTAGTTGACGGTGGTTGACTACGCTAGTCGACTATTTGGAACCAGCCTACTGGGGCTGGTTGCATCGCTGGTAACCAATAGCCGCGCGCATTCATAATGCTAGCAGAGAGCCAGGATCCAGAAGTTTTGCAATGACATTTTGACCAGCGTTTGACTAGAGACGTTCGCACGTTGCTATCAGTGCGCAGGCGTAAGGTACGTCACAAATCAACCACTAGTCGACTGATGGTGCTTGCCCGAACTTGGCCTCTGTACTCTGTTTGACAATAGCCAAAGTTTGTAATATTTATAATGGCTCAATTAATGTCACGGGGCTCAAAGAAGTCGAGAGTTTCTCGACAATAACCCTCCTGCTATTTAAACAGTCACAGACAGTCAAAATATTCACCTCCACTTGCCCTGCTATATTTTTAACAATTTAGGCTAGTCACCAGCAGTCAGATCATATTATGTCAAGCAAACACTGACTAGTCAAACTGGGTCAACAGACAAAACAGGCAAGTTGTGGTCACAGCTGTTTTATCACTCACCCGGAGTCAAAGCATAGCTGTATCAAGTTACTTAAACAGTCCCAGCCAGTCAATCCTGCTTTATGTAGGCCGGGAATTCTTACCTGTTTAAAACAGTCACTTGTTTGATTTTGACTGAAAGGACTACTTGGCACAGAATGTATGTTTGCATAGGCGGGTTAAAATGGAAAATGCATTTTGAGCCAACTGATAATGATGAAAATTTGTGATTGATTATATTAATGAAATATCTCTTAAACTATTTTGCCATCAACAGTTCTGGTTGTCAAATTTGTAAATTATAAGAGTAAGCTGTAAATACTACAACACAAAGTGAACATTCTATCAAATCATGCAAATTGATTTTTGAGTTTTTATATTTGATTGCAGAGATGGTAAAATAAGTTTTCTTTTGTTACATGCCTTGACCATCCGTGGAATGGTACTTTAATATTATTTTTTATCTATTTGGTTTATAAAGCGCTTTTTCACCAGCAAGAAGTGCGAATTATTAAAGAAAGACATGTCGTCTTGTCATTACATTGAGATGTTGTCTGTAACACCAACCTTAATTACCGAATGTCCGTCAACGAATTCTTTACAACTTCCAGATGATAATTTGGAGTTTGTCAAAACTTGGTTGTCTCCAGCAGCTGGCTTCAGGTGAGGCTTCAAGATTTTAGGCCAAGGACACGCCGGCTCTGGCTCAGTATTATATCAATGTTGCGATTCAGAAACATCAACTACAGACTAAGGGACCATTCGAAATGGTACGCATACGGTATACGTGTACGGCTCGGGGAAAAAACGCCTATTAGGCCACCAAAAAAAAAGTCTCTGGTTTCTGGTATGGAGCTTGCCCCAAAAGTGGTGCGGCGACGCGGCTTTATTTTTTTTTTTACCTGATTTTTTTGTTTCAAATGTCGGCTGATGACTGCAAATGGTGCC